AGAGAATATCTGATCGGAACTAATCATCTCACTAATGGGCAATGGCCAATGAGTGTTAAAAGGATTTTAGGAGGGGAGACGAAGGGGAAATATGATTGTTATCTTTGTCTAATTCGCTGAAAATATAATTTTATATCTGCGTTAGATATCCTGTTAAATTTTACCATACCGACGATAAACTTTTACCTATACTGTAGATCATGTTTCACAATAGAGACAACGTTTGTCATAATAGAAAAATCTAAGAAATTGTATGTGGTTCATTTAGCTTCCAAGCCATTTTGGTCCATTTCTGCCGTCTTACACGGCAATGAACATTCAATATCTAGGGATACTCAGCTTGCATTAATCTATGTATTTATAAGAACCTTCAAAACAAAAAGCCTGTCCAAAAACACTATACTTACCTCGGCGTCACACTGGATACTAAATTAACATGGGAAAAACATATTAATAACTGTTTAATTAAATGCGAAAAAAGCCTAAATGTTTTAAAGGTAGTTAACCGTCAACAATGGGGCGCTGATCCTAAGGTCAATCTAATGTTTTATAGGGCTATACCAGGTCAATTGCTGACCATGCTTGCTTTTTATATGGGCCTGATACAAATACTAGACTTAAAAAATTTGACCGAATCCAGTTCGTTTGGCTCTACAAAACAGTAGAGAATCCTCCTGCTTCTATACAACATGTAGCTTCTCCTTCAAAATTTTAAAGTGTTTGTTTGTCTTAGTGTATTGTATTTTGTATTGCTATATTCAAATTTTACATTTATGACATTCTACTATGTCGGATAGGCCACAACTGACGAAATGCCCCTGAAGATGATCTATTGATCGAAAGTACTTGGGCAAGATTAAATTAATCACCGTGTTCGATAGTTGCCTTGTATACCCTCAAAGTATATTTAAAAAGGACTAAAAGAAAAATTTAGGATGAAATGTGTAATGTGAATGTATAAATCTAGCTTTGTTCCCTCTGTCTATGCTTATGTATGTATTTACCTCCTATCGTTGCCTGCTTTGTGTTGTAATAAAGTCGCTATGAAAGGCACCTTAGCGTGAAAAGTATCTCTATATTATGTAATCTCTTGTTGGTTCCAAATATTCACTTTAAGTTGGTTAGGGCCTTGAATGGAACGAATGAAAGTATGGTTTCTTGTCAATCTACTGATTCTTGTAATACTAATGTTTACATTATATTTTAATTTACCTCTATGCGAAGTACCTACTATTTTGTTAACAAATGCAATATCGTCAACATCATCAACAAATTCAAGCAGTCGAATACATTATCGTGGCTGAATGGATCAAGTTATCCAAAGCCATTAATTAAATAAAAAAAGCCTCTTTTCCATCGCTTATTTGATAAAGATTTAATAAAAGAAAAATGACCTCATAAGTTTTCAAGAACATTCAAAATAAAGACAATGACAAACAAATATTTACCTTGTGTTGATACTTGAGAAATCCAGTTTCATATACCGGAAATTATTATTATTTCGTTCGAAATTACCAAAACATCAAGCTTATCAACCATGATTGCAAATTTATATTGATTGTTTTAATAGCTGTGTATAAAAATAAAAATCCTGGCTTGATACAAATAGTTTAATTGGAAACGGCTGCATTTTGGCCTTGACAATGATATTGAACTTTAGCCAAAGCCAAAGCCTTACTGAATTGAAGTTCAGCCAAAATTTCCAGGAGAAAACAAAGTTGTATAATTCACTTCTGTAATGCAAAATCTTTTACTACAATTTTACAAGTTATGGACTTTTCCACAGAACACAGAAACATTCATTTCCTGAATAATAAATAAATAAAATCCATAATTTAACGACTTTTTTGTTATTTGACTACACTGTACGAAATTCTCATAACAAGTGCGCACACAATCCTCTATCTCTTTTCGGTATATACATTTCCAGTTTATTCCCCTCTCTATCGCTACCTCAATATTAAAACATTGATCGAGCGCCTCGTTCAAATATAATTTTGTTTAAAAAAAATATTACAAAGTACAAAGACAACTGGTTTTCAATCCTCTATAACATTGAATTTGGGTTTAAAGAGCTTGTAGAGTGTTTGTTTGTGTATACAGGTAATAGTAACAACAAAGAACTTGTTTATTTTAGAATCAGTTTATTTCCGTGTTAGTGTCAAAATCAGCTGATCTCTGTTTGAAATAAATAAAGACCAAACTATATTGTTTGCAAGCTTAAACGTTACTGAAATATCATAATTGATTATAATTACCTTATTGTTGAAGCTTCTAAGCGGGGCAACAGCCAAAGGGGTCAAAAATCACAGTTTTCACAATTTGTTTTTACGCACAACAGCATTCAGCCCAAAGCAGGCGCTGAATAGCTATCTATCTTTGTTAAAGGGCTGAAGACCCAGCTGGATTGCGCGGGGAAAGGTAGAGTGAGCTATTTGTATCTTTTTCTAACATTCTTGGACACTGCTATATTTTTCTTTGTTTATTTTGATACTGCGCTCCAATTTTTAATGTAATACAAAATTTTGCTATATTTTTTATTATTTTTTATGTATGCGTTACTGTTTATTAGCTGTGAAAATTATAAAAAAATTAACAAAAAGATAATTAACACCTATATTAATAAAAGAGTTTTCGTCAATTTCTATACAAGCCTTCTAGACCCACTAGACAGATGGACCTCATCAAACAATAGCGTAATATCAAGATAATATCAATATATACCTACTCAATTAATCAAAATTGTAAAAGTAAACATAAATCTTTATAAAACATGCGTCTTATAAAACAAAAAGACATAGGTAGTCTTTTCTTCTAAAGATTTTCAAAATTTTAAGAATTATTCAGTAAAAAATTATAAATCAAACTTAGATCAATAATTTATTGTAACTAAATAATAGAGGAGAATTGCCAATATTGTACCACTTAAATATATTTTAAATTTTAAATTGAGTAATATACGTCATATTAAACCACTAGCGCACCTAGAATTTTTCTCTGGGTGGGGATTTTGGTTGGACACTGAAATTTCTGTTATGATGCTACCTCCATTTTGAGTCCTTAAAATTTGTTAGTAACAGTAACATATAATAATTTTTGTAACTTGATATAATTGATTTGACTGTTAAAAAAACATGCTTATCTGGTAGGTTGCAAGTGATACAATTTAGAAAACTAGTTGCCTTTATTGTACCATGGGTTTCCTTAATTTTACCCGTAGTAACCTATATAGAATGATCATAATGTAATGTATAGTATAATAAGTTTTATTGTGTTTTTGTGTGAATATTGTATAAGGGTGAATACCATTAATCATGTTTTGTTTAATAAAAATTTATTTTCCAATATCAGAAATTATTTACATACATAATAATTTTTATTTACATTCAAAGCAAGAAAAAGTTTGGTTCCAGGTTGGACTCCTGCACAAAGTTCGTGGCTTCATGAACGGCATTTGGTACATTGGATCATGTCTTCAATTCTTTTTTCCTCGCAAATTGAACATAACTACTCATCAACACACGTCTCTATAACAACGTCAGGTTGATTCATCGAGCAATAAGACAAAAGAGGGAATCTAATCCTTATGAAAAGGAGACCAAAAAAGTGGCCTCTGATGGCGGACATATCCGGAAATGCGAATGCGCGAAATTTAAATTTTCCGACACTTATCAACAGTAGCTATATAATATTTTTCAGAATGTGTCTTAGACGAGAAAGTTTTAATTAATTATTATTGATAAGAGTCTAAAATACGACACAATTGTTAAAAAACTTCAATATAAATAAGATTTCATGTGACATTTGGGACAAACAATAACAACATAACCCAACTAAATTTGATGTCAAACAAGGAGAGAGACTCTCTTTCCTTGTTTAATGTGGCCTCTAAAGATCGCACTTCCTGTCTAACAATATGTTTGCCCCCACTATCTTTACATTCCTCTATTGTCTTTTTGCTCGATGGGTTGATTCATCGAGCAAAAAGATAAAAGAGGGAATCTAATCGTTATGAAAAGGCATCGAGCAAAAATATAAAAGAGGGAATCTAATCGTTATAAAAAGGAGACAAAAAAAGTGGCCTCTGATGGCGGACATATCCGGAAATGCAAAGGCGCTAAATTTAAATTTTCCAACACTTGTTAACAATAGATGTAAAATATTTTTCAGACAAGAAAGTTTTAATTAAATATTAACGATAATAGTCTAAAAAGTTACACAATTGGTAAAAAACTTCAATATAAATAAAATTTCATGTGACAGTTGGGACAAACAATAACCCCACTACCTTTACATTCCCTCTTTTATCTTTTTGCTCGATGGGTTGATTTGAGCTTGACGCGGCATTTAGAATAACAGACTGTGTAGGATTTTCACATTTCTTTTTTTCTGACAAGTTTTTATTGACAACTTCTTTATCTAGAATTTCCAATCTCCGAAAATTTTGAATAACGCTGGGCCCATAACGGTTTCTTAATATTGTTCTGAAGCTATTTTCTTGTGGCATTTTAAATTAATTACTATTTAACTGGGAATAAGCCACAATTAAAGATAAAAATACGTTTATTGACGCTTCAATTTCCACTTCGGAAATCGTTCTCTAAAGTTTTGTAATTTGAGTACCATATAGTACTTAGAGGTAATTATGAGTACCATTGAGAGAGATATAGAGTACCATAAATTGAAATTAATCGTAGCGAAAGAGTTATTTAGCATTGTATAATTTCAGTATAAAGCAAACATATAGACTAACCAACTGCGAAATTGTTCGTTGTGCGTTTTAAATTCGGTATTTGTCACCAATACAAAGTACACATATTTTAAATTTTTAAAATAATGGCTTTAACTAATAACTTTAATAATAAAGATAAAAAGAAAATTGTTTTCATAATTATTCCTTATTCAAGGTAGTTGCGGCATCTATGAACATTTGTTTACATTAAACTACAAATTATTCTAAAAATCTGCAAAATACATGTAGGTAAGATTTCCCGATCAATGTATAAATTGAACGAATATATAATTATATTTTAATCAGTCGATCATATTATACCTACTCTATTTAATGATTACATTATAAATATTTAATAATTTATTTGTATATTTATAATTAGGATGACATATTTAGAAGCAGACAACCAACATTACAACAAAATGTCATGATAACAGCTGATTGATTGTGATTGTCATGTAACATGTGCAACAAGTAACTGCACGGTTGAACTTGGTATGTTTGTTGTAATTGTTATTTCTTAATTTTATTTATTTTCAATGACTTTCATTGTGTATTTGTTGTATATATTTTGATTTCCTATCTATATATCAGATATATTTTTGTTGCAGACTATGCTATAACATCTTGCACAATGTCAAAAGCTCTAAGAAGATTCCTCTTTCCAGGTCTTAGTCAAAAAAAGACATATAAAGTAATTAAATATACGGGTATAGGTGTAGTTGGTGGTGTAGCTACATTGGCTTCAACCCCAGTTTTATCAGATTGTTCTGAAGACAACACTGTTATTAATAAAGCTAATGGAGCATTAAGATTTTTAAGGTAACAATAATCAGATCTTTTGTTTTTTCCCACATTGTCACATTTGTTTTATTTTTGCTTAGACTATATTAAACAGATTGGTGTACTTTTATCCACTCCTTTTTTCATTAGTTTCTTGTGTAGGAATGTAGTATTTACTATAAATATGTATATAAAAACTGCAGTTGTTTATGAAATAAAAACTATTAATGCAACAATTAGTGAAAAAAAACTTTTCCATACTATTTTTTTAATTAATTTTCCATGTGAGTTGACTTAACAACTATTGTTTTGAAGCTATCTTTGAGAACAATTTCCGAAGTTGAAATTGAAACGTCAATAAATGTACTTTAACCTTTAATTGTGGCTTATTCCCATTTAAATAGTAAATGACCTAACAACTGATCTTTGAAGTAAATTATTTCCAAGTTATTTTTCTGGTATATGATCTCACTACATCTCATAATGTATTTTTGACAGGTATAGAATGTATATGGTATCATTATAAGTGGCTCAACAATCCGTTATGGATCTTGGCCTGCTCACAAAGAACTCGCCAGTTCTGTCGATTGCTGGCAACTTCCCTCCATCTTCTGTATATGGTATACTTATTATATTTGTTGGATAGGACTGCCTGGCGTAATAGACTTGGGAAGGTCGAGGCTCTTTCATAGGGCTGTAGCACCATTGATGATGATGATGAAAATAGGGAAAAAAATGACAACATTAGGAGTAAATGCAAAGTAGATCCAAAGCAGATACAAATTTTTAATATTAAGATATGAATGATGTCTTGATTTGCATATGAACTCTGGCATTAAATCAGTTTTCATTTGTTTATGGTCAATTATTCATGCTTGCTATACTCCAAGATATTTGTACATATTTGTTCTACCATAGCCTCACTTTTTGTCCATTTTATATATCAGAATCTCCAGATTGAACAGTTCCTCTGAGTTTATTTAGAATATTGTACTTGTCTAGTTCAAAGTGCAAACTGATATTTGAGAAACTTTTCATAGTTTTTAACATCTGATTTGTGTGGTTTCTTGTAAAAGCTAAAAATTTCAAATCCAAAATAAAACATTCAAAATTAACTATTATTATGTTTCTGTTGTAATAATATTCTTTCCATTATTGGAATCCTCATAATGAAATTATCCTTACAGATCTATAAAAATCGGATTATGGATATCACTAGACTACTACTTTTCCTCCATGGGATTGGATGAATCATGCACAAATTACAAATTTATGATGAGCCGAATTCATCAGAGGTCTGCTGAGAACCTTCTACATGGTTGTCTAGTCAATGGAGGATCTTATATAAAACTAGGACAAGGGTTATGTTCAATGGGCCATATACTTCCTGAAGAATACATAGAAACATTAAGGTGTCTTCAAGATAAATGTTTAAAGAGAGAAGAAGGAGAATTACAAAAGATCTTTCAAAAGGATTTTGGAAAAGATCCTGAAGATTTGTTTGAAAGTATCGATAAGGAACCTATTGCTGCTGCTAGCATTGCCCAGGTATGTCTCACTGTTTAATACTAAAATAATTAAAAAATATTCAACATAATTTTTCAAATATTTTTTTTAAATCACATAGCAAAATCAACTCTTTATTTGAGGCTTTAATATTATATTTAAAAAGAACTGTTTTGGGCTCCATCACAGAACTTGTGTGGAATAAATATTCCATCATCAGTGCTGCTACTAGGTATACATTTGTGAATCAACTAAATATCTATGTAAAAGCCCTTTAAATGATATTAAATTGTTTTATATTATATTGTTCTTCTGTGACTTCCATATTAGAAAAAACTGGTTGTTTGTTGCATTAACTACCTATGACAATGATTGTCACTTAGGTAAGGCCTATATTATTATTTTATAAAAATAGTTCATTCAGAAAACCATTGTCCCTTTCCTTTATTGCTTTTTTACTTTATTTACATGCAAATTGTCCTATGTCCACAACATTTTATATTATGCAAAATGACTTATTTCCACAGAGTTCTTGCAAAAGATCTTATTACCAAAACAAAATCAATTTTTTTAACTTTTTTGTTAGCTACCCTTACTGAAATAAGTGTTATGTCATTTTTGGAACCAATACTATTGCATAACATTCATTAGAACTGAACATTGATTAGAACTCATTATCCTTTTTCACAGCAAAACTATAAATTTTTCGCTCTCCCTGAAAAATTACTTATTGGTGACTTAAGCTTGTTTGCATTTTACCTCCTCAATTTGTAAAAATTCTTTAATGCAAATAGCGCTAATTCTTACTCATACAAAAATTTTTTGTATGCTACTGGAAGTCCAAGAATAACTTAACTCAGAATAGTCATCACCATTTCCAGGAATTTAATGTCTACATTTTTTGATACTCAACTATATATAGATAAGAATATATGCCTATCTCACAGTTGATTTTCTTTATTATGTTTTTAGGTGTACAAAGCTGTAACGAAAGAAGGCGATCCGGTAGCTGTAAAGGTCCAGTACATAGACCTTCAGCAACGATTCACTAGTGACGTTAGAACCATAAAAATGCTATTAAAAATTGCTGGAATTTTACATCCAAAATTTGACTTCTCATGGATAATCAACGACATGGAAAATACGTTGAAACAAGAATTAGACTTCATCAATGAAGGTTTAAACGGGGAAAGATGTGCAAGAGATCTACAACATTTAAAATATGTTCATGTGCCTAAAATTTATTGGGATTACACAAGTTTGGTACAGTATAATAACAGTTATTTTATTATTAGAAAATTTATTTACGAATTAGGGCTAGGTTTGTAAATTGTAGACTAGAGTTAAACATTAAGCTCTCTTTATATGTATTTATATATATATATATATAATATATATATATATATATATATATATATATATATATATATATATATATATAGTCTAAAGCTACACAAATATCTGCTTTTATTTGATGCAAATCTAATTTGGATTAGTCTATATATATTTTGTTTATGTATCGTCATCTTCAGTATTAATATTGAGGAGCAACATTGCATGTTGCACGTTTAAAAATTTTAAACAGCAGCTTCAGAATTATAGTTTATTTTTATGAACGAGAGAGTAATTAGCATAATTTTAACTGGTACCTCCGACCACTCCATGGGCGTGCTCAAGATTAATTGAAAAATTACTTTGAATAATTGTAAAAAATAAATGAATTATTTCAGTGTTATAAAGTGTTATGTGTATGTAAACAAAAGTGACCTCTTTTATCACACACTATATTAGAACTGACTGGCCTACATTAAAAAGGGTTTTAAAAAATTCACATTTTTTTTAATTTTTAAAAATTACAAAAGAGAAAAATAGTTTTTAAAACCGTCTAAGGTATGTTAAATAGATGAATAAAAATATTAATATAAAACTTACAGCTACTTGTTACAAATCCAAATCAGATTCAGAAGATGAACTTTCAGAACCAAGATTTATAATAACTAGCTCGATCATTTTATCAGTAATATTGTCCAGCTTCCACATTTTTCCTCTTCTTTAATAGTGTGATTTACTGCCTTTTCCCAGTTTTCAGGTTTTACATTATTTACGGCCTCCAAAAACAACTGTTTAACATCATGAATTTTAAAAGTGGTATTTTTTCTTGAAACTTCACTCTTTATCTGTTCCATACCAGTTCAATCGGGTTTAATTCACAATGATATGGTGGGGATCTAAGTACTGTCATTCCACGATTTTTGGCAATTTCATCAATTTCGTATTTTTAAATTTTTCTTTATGAAGGGCACACAACGAATAAAGTTCCTTTCTTATAGATCCGGGATGGTACGTAATATTTTTTGAACTCAGCCAATTCTGCAAGTCTTTTTTTAACCACTTGGTTGTGGGCAGTCCTTCTATAAGTCTGGAGTGATAACTTGCATTATCCATTACTATTACACAGTTCTTAGGAAGATCTATCATTTGTTCGAACCATTCTTGAAAGACATCAGCGTTCATTTCTTCGTAATAGTCACCGGTACGAGTTGATTCAAAAGTTAATAAACCACCTTCAACAAAACCGTCTGAACTGCCAATGTGTACTATTATCAGCCTGCATCCCTTTCCTGATGGTGGGTTTAAACCAGTAGATAAGTTATTTACAAAAGCGTGCCTTTGACTTGTAAAAGTTTCATCCTGCCAAAATTTATTTGGTGTATGACCCTCGTTGATCCATGTTTCATCAAGATAAAATATTTTTCTTTTTTGGTTTCTCATTTCCTTTATGGTTCTTAGAAAATGTCTTCTCCATATGACAATATCGCTTCTTTCTAATAAAATAGACTTTCTGGGATTCTTTTTCAGTGGAAGCCTATTTCTTTTAAAAGTTTCCATAACGTACTTCGACTCATTTCTGGGTAATCCTTATCATCTCGAACTGAGACAAGAACTTTATCCAATGTTGGAAATTCTTGTCTAAAGAAGAATTCATGCACTTTCCGTCGAAGTCCTTCTTTAAAATGATATTCTATTTGAAATTTTGGTTTCCCTGGACCATACGTGGCATTTGAAAACTACCACATTTCTCTTCTTTAATAACTCTGTAAATCGTAGATTTCCCAACACCAAGTGTACTGCTAACTAACTCAACGGTCTCATCAACACTTTCACATAAACGTTTGTCTGTAAATGATTTAAAACAATTAAATATTAATGTTTTTTCATTAACTGTTAAAGGACCAATTTTTCGGCGTTTACACGGCACTTCCAAATTTTCCATAACACTAGTATACACAATAAACTGCACCTTGCAACTGAAGTACCTACTTTTAGTGAACTGTTAAGAATTTTGAATACGCCACTTGGACCTTCCTACAAAATGGAAAAACCCACTATCACATTTTCTGTGGAATAAGTTTAGAAGGTAATTATCTAGTCAATTATTGTCGTAGATTCCTGGAATAAAGAATTAAATGTTTGATTGTTGAAACCCTTACTTCGTGGAATGCACTCATTTCAGATAAAATAAAACGTTTTATTTTATCTAAAGAATTAAACTTTATTTTGCAAATAGGTAGGTACTTATTAAACATTTATTGGTTATATATAACCAATAAAATAAACATCTTACATTTCTTGCAAATTCATTAGTACCTGTTAACCTCCATCACTCCGACACTGACAACCTTATTTAGGGATTAGCAACCCTCACAACTATTCTATTCTATTCTGCTCCAACCTTTATACCTGGTGGTCATACTCAATTTAAAATTGTTTTCCTATATACTTCTGTAAACTTGTTGACAAATATCTGTTTTTCATTGAGTCACCCGTATCAACAGTTTTAGGGATTTGCATACATAATTTATTGTTTTATTACTCTCTCATACATAAAAATACACTATAAGCAGATCGAAAGATCTCCAAGAAGTAGAAGAATTTATATTCTCACATTCTTGCTTCTCATTTAATGTACCATAGTTTTTAAAATGCATACATTGTACTCACGTTATATTTTTTTATTGTAGAGGGTATTGGTTACAGAGTTCATTGATGGATACAAAATAAGTGACGTGGAACATCTGAAAAATGAGAATTATTCGTTGACAGATTTAAACAATAAGTTATTTGAAGCTTTTGGCCACCAAATATTCCAGACTGGTTTTGTTCATGGTGATCCACATCCTGGAAATGGTAATTTTGTTTTGATGATATACTAATATTGTTTAGCATAATATTACTAATAGTATTTTAATGATTCCTCATCATCATCATCATCATCCAGTCTTCATTTATCACGTCCACTGCTGTACATAGGCCTCCCTTAAACTCCTCCCTTTTTTACGATTTTTGGCTCTTTGTTGCGCAATTTTTGGTGATACGCCTGATGTCGTCAGCCCAACGTGTAAGTGGTCTTCCTCTACTACGTTTGTCTGCTCTTGATCTCCAATTTGTAATTTTGCTCGTCCATCGTGAGTCGTGCATTCTCGCTACATGGCCTGCCCAGTTCCATTTTATTTCCGATATGCGTTCTACAACAGCAGCAAATACTCGTTCTTCTTCTTCGCAGATCTTTGCTTTTTATTCGGTCCCGCAACATCATTCCCAGCATAGACTGTTCCATTCGTCTCTGTGCCACTCTTAATTTCGAAGCCGTAGTCTTGGTATAACTCATAGCCGCCCCATAGGTCATGACCGGTAATACGCATTGGTCACATACTTTTCTTTTGAGGCTAATTGGTATGTTCGCCCTAAGTGTGTCGCAGTTTTCCAAACGCTGCCCACGCTAAAATAATTCGTCTTTGATTATCCTTGCTGATTCTTATATCATGACCTAAATACGTATATTTCTACACCAGTTACACCTAATTTCTTGAATAGTAAAATGGTTATTGGGGACCATTTTTAGGCCTACCTTCGAACATACAAAATCCAATTAATTTATCATATCTTTGGCTTCTCCTAAATGATGTTATAAGGACAAAGCCATCTGTTATCCCACGTTTTTTTTTATTGGTCGGGTTCTATCGTGTATCTTAACAGCCATAGTGGCATTTTTGTAAATATTGTAAATAAGTTTACTATACCTATGGTCAATCCAGCTGTCATCTATTGCTTCTATAAGGCTGTCTATTTCTATCGTATCGAACGCTTTATGAAAATGTTTTATTGGCCTGCTCGGTCATGCGATTTTAACCCTTTGGACTACGCAGTTTGGTCTATATTGAGGAAAAAGTCTATCCTACAGAGGTAAATTCACGCCAAGAATTGGAAGAAAGAATTCAACGTCAATTTAATGACATCATAGCTGATCCCCTACCGTTTAGAAGGTTAATGGAATCTTTAGAAAAAAGAATAGACTTGTATATTCGCGAAAACGAAGGGTATTTTGAACACTTACTGTAATTGAATTTTATTTTATGTTCTTAGTCATTAATTTAATTTTCTTCTTGTGAGTTTTGTTTAATTACTAACTATTTTATACTAGCATCAATTATTACTTCATAATTTTCAAATCAAAATATTCCGAAAACGGTACACAGTATCGAGTTTTACCAACTGTACCTTTTTCGTGTAAAATTGAATGATGTTTAAGTTTACTTGAAATTTTGATTAATAATTATACTCTTAAAAAAGTTAAATTGACTAATACTTAGTACGATCCGTGTAACTAGCGCCCCTATGAGAATCAGATATAAAAACCAATTCATGGGATGTATCAGCTTCCAGAACATATTCGTATAAAATTTCATTACAATGTTGCCAGCAGTTTCGGCAAAATCGTAAAAAATGCGTAAAATTTTTTTGTCTTCAACGCCCTGTATCTTGAAAACGAATGGCGTTACAAAAATTTTCTACTAAGAAAACCCTAATTATTTTTCAGTTTTTCACCTACCCTAGAGACGGGGTTACCTTTTTTTGAAACACCCTGTATGTGGTATTGTTGTCGTTTTTAAATCCCTTCTTGTGGGAATTTCTGGATTGATTATGGTGATTATTTGTTTACATATTTGTATACTAACCTGTGGAACGATATTCCTGAAGATTTTTTATTAACATTGTTTCTGCTACTGCAACTACGTTGAGAACAAGAAACCATTATTATGCACTATCACAATATATTATTACAGTTTCTATAAAACTATTATAAAACTAAAAATATTCGAAAAACAACAAATGTAAACAAACATATACGATCTGTCAAAACAATCTTAACAATATGGCCGAAGTGAGGTCGTTTTTAGTCACGTGATGCCCTCTCCATAGATTCTAACTCGATGATTCTTCGTCTGTTAAATCTTTGATAGCTTTGAGTTCCTCTTTACCAACATTTACTTTTGACTTTGTACTTTTCTCCAGTTTCTTTTTGCACGGTACTCTTATATTCTTCCTTTTCGTGTATTGGTAGTTCTTGACAGATTTTTTTAACTACACTAACTATGTCTAGTTTAGGAACTGATGGGCATGTTACAGTATAATTTAGACCTTTAGAAACAGTTGCAAAACCGCAATAAAACCATTGTATTTACTGACAAAAAATGGAGGAAGTGATACTTTTTGAAGTTAAGTTTACCTAGACCATAATAATCATTCTTGTTTACCTTAGGTTATACTATTTACTCACATTGACCTCTTATCTTGCTTTAAACATAGTTACATTCGCACTATACTAAAGAGTATGGAAGAAGAGTGCGGTTGATGCTGAAAATGAAACTTACGTAGAGTTAATGGATTTTGGGAACAGCTATGACCTTGAAAATGCCACAAAGAATATAACTAAATATCTCTTTTCTTACTCAGACTCTTTAAAGTCTTTTACATTATTTTGAATCGAAGATATGTAATTATATTATTAATGTATTGGATTTTGACAAGAGCTATGCATTATGCCTATTTAGTACACAAGTTTATGTGAAATGTTCAAGGTCATAGCTATTCCCAAAATCCATTACCTCTAACATTTTTAATGGAATTGAAATTATTTTTACATTTTTCTTCTTGATAAAAAGAACAATTAGCTGGCAACACCGCTCAGTAGTTAGCTTTGTTGTTTTTTTAATTCTTGTGTTCTTATCAGTAATCCTATTCTTCAATAATAGGCCAATCAAGTTAGGTTTTTACTCATCACAAGTGTATAGACGGGTTTGACAGTTGAAATAAGTAGTATGAGATATTACAAAAAGACTCTCATCTAGGGATTCATGAATTTTTTAGTGGAAATATTTTTAAATAAACAATTAAAATGTCAATATCATTATTTTGCTCATAACTTATAAACTTGTGTATTTAGAGATTTGACGTCTACAGACAAGTTGTTGAGAAAAAAAAATACACAAAATGAGATATATACTATAATAACCAAGCAAAACCACTGTTTTTGATTATTGTTAATTACTCTTTTATTAATCAATAAAATTTATTTAAATGTATCTGAACTTAAAGATCTCATCGTGTTTGAAGTTTGTGCGAAAAATAGGCTAGATCCGTCAAATAGTTTTTGCACAATTTAATTTGTTTATAAGATTTTTTGAAAAATGCACAAATTTCTAAGGCCGGTCCAGATAATTTGACTCAATGGATCTTAAAAATCCGGGGCTTATTTTCTTTGTTGAGACATATATTAATATCCTATGAAAAAAAAGTTAAAAAAAATTACGTTTATGTACACAAAATGATTTAACAATAAATAGCACTTTTTAAGCTTATAAACATTTACAATAACTCCGTACTATTTAGTTTAAATTAAATGGCAATAAAATATTCGGAAAGCTGGTTAAAAATCACAACTTAAAAAAAAAGAAAAAGGTCCTGCGACCATTAGGAGCCGAGTTAGTCTTTTTTTTTAAATCACTGTTACGTCAATTAGCAACATTAAGGGCTGAACTTAACCAATCTTTTAGAAGAAAAGTCAAAGTTTTTAACAAAATATTTAGCAAACAAAATAATTGAAAATTGATTAAACAGGAGTGTTGTAAACCAAGAGTACTTTGCGTTTAGACTCAAATGGAAGCAGTGGGGATTGCCGATTGCACTCAAGCCGCGCTCTAAAAAAAGCCGAGCTTCGAGCGCACGTCGAAAGCGGTACAACTCATTTTCCTGCGACTATACAACCGGTTTGTTGTATTGAAATATTTAGTGTTTTGTTTTATTTAATAATTGTTACAAATAATTAATGGTACGTAAAATTCATCTGAATATTAAAAAAAACTACGTGTTCTGATATATATTAATATAAACACATGGTTGTACCACGTTGGCTGAATAATATACGGTTAACTTTGAATATAATATTATTTTACTATTATAATGTACTAATATTTATGAAATTATTAATGAAGAAGAAAACGATACAACAGATGAACAAGAGATAATTGATGAAATGTATTTAACTGGGTTTGATGAGAATAGCGACAATGAAAATGAAATGATTTATGAAAGTTATCTTCTTCTTCTTCTTCTTCTTCAGATGCAAATCCACTAATGGATGTTAGCGATCACATTTTCCATTAACTCTCTATTTCTTGCAATATGTATCAGAGATTGTATGTCGTTAATCCCTGTCCATTGCCTTATGTTTCGGAGCCAGGACATTTTCTTGCGTCCCATTCCTCTCTTGCCTTCAATTTTACCTCGATTATAAGTTGGAGGAACTGGTATTTTTCATTTCGCATGATGTGACCTAGATACGCCGTTTTCCTTTTCTTGATGGTTTCGAAAAGTTGGCGTTCTTGGTTTATTCTTTTAAGGACATCTATATTTGTGATTTTCGCTGTCCATGGTATTTTTAGGATACGGCGATAAAGCCACATTTCGAAAGCTTCCAATCTGTTTATATCTCTCGTTTTGAGTGTCCAGCCCTCTACGCCATATAGCAGCACTGACCATACGTAGCACTTAGTAAACCTTAGTCTCAGTTGAAGATCGAACTCAGAACAAGTCAGTACCTTCTTGAATTTTACGAAAGCTTGTCGAGCTTGCTCAATGCGACATTTTACTTCCCTGTCCGATGCCCAGTCTTCAAAAAGCCACGATCCCAGGTATTTAAATTTACTCACTCTTTCTATGGATTTACTATTCAGTGTTATGGTGGAGTTTTCAAATGCATCCAAGTTTCTGGAGATGATCATGAATTTGGTCTTTTTGGTATTAATCTCTAGTCCCATTCGCTCACTGTATTCTCCGATTATAGTGACAAGTTGTTGAAGATCGACTATGTTGTCACAAATTAAGACACCATCATCAGCATATCGTATGTTGTTGATCAATACTCCATTCACCTTGATTCCCATCTCTGCATCCTCCAAAGACTCTTGAAATATGGCTTCTGAATAAATGTTAAATAAAAGAGGGGAAAGCACACACCCCTGTCGAAACGCCTCTTCTTATATGTATGGGCTTAGATATAGAATTGTCTATTTTTAGCTGTGCCGTTTGATGCCAGTTCAAGTTTTCAATGCATCTTATGTCTTTTTGGTATGAAAGTTATAATACAAGTGAAATTGAAGATGAAAGTGAAGATTAATGTTTACATATTAGTAGCAGTGACGATATAGAAATTAAGCGTAGAAAATTACAGTAAATTAAATTATTTTAAAAAATCACTACACAAAATTTCAACTTCTGTAATAAATTAAAATAATTTATTATTTCATTAATAAATTTTTAGTAAACATTATTCAAAATGTTCATTTACTTATAACAGTTATTTAATATAATCATATTTGAAATAAATAAATAGAAAAATAACAATAAAAAGACGACTCAAGAAAAAGTTTGTACATTCCGTAGTCATTAGCTGCGTTGTTTTGAATAATTTTGCAATGAAAGTACGTTAAATGTTATTATTTTAACGTTGTACCCCAGTTTAAAAAAAAAAGAACAAATTTGGTCCACTAGAACCCGAGATATGTCATTTTTTTCCAAGCAATCTATTTTGAAACCGTGCGCTTGACTTTTTTGGAGAGCGCGGCTTGTGTGCAATCGGCAATCCCCACTCCTTCCATTCTAGTCGGAACGCAAAGTACTCTTCGTTTACAACACTCCTGTTTAAACAATTTTCAATTATTTTTTTTGCTAAACATTTTGAAAATAACTTTGACTTTTCTTCTGAAAGATTGGTTAATTTCAGCCCTTAATGTTGTTAATTGACGTAACTTTCTCAACAACTCGTCTGTAGACGTCAAATCTCTAAATAGACAAGTTTATAAGTTATGAGCAAAATAATGATATTGACGTATTAATTGTTTATTTAAAAATAGTTCCACTAAAAAATTCATGAATCCCTAGATGAGAGTCTTTTTGTAATATCTCATACTATCCATTTCAACTGTCAAACCCGTCTATACAGTTGTGACGAAAAAACGCTTATTTTCTACTAACTTGACTCGTCTATAATTGTATCCTAAATTATTTGTTTTTAGTGTTGGTCAGAAAAGTAAATGGAAACGCTCAATTGGTATTACTAGACCATGGACTGTATCAAGAAGTATCGACGGAAGATCGAACAGCACTCAGCCATTTTTGGAAAGCCATTGTGTTACGCGACCACCGGAACATGATGAAGTATTCCAATGAATTGGGAGTTAAAGGTAATTAGTTCATGTTTTGTTAATTATAATGAAGATTTCTTTTGAATTTATAAAAAAAAACATCCATGGCATTTATTTTTTTTTTCAGTTAAAACAGTGACCATCTGTGCATCCAATGGCACTACAGCTCAAGTTGGACCTTGGTCTCCTTTAGTAAACTTCTCCAAAGATCTCGATCTACTGCTATTCTTTTCCATGAACGTATTTTTAGGAGGTTATCGTCCTCACAGCTCTTTTGTGGTCTTCCAATAGGTCCTTTTCCTTGCATTTTTGTGTTTAGTAATGTTCTATTATCTCCTTTCTCGTGCTATCTCTATTTCGTTCTCACAGCTCTTTTTTGGTCTTCCAATAGTAGTGCAGTCATTGAAGCATTATTGCTCCGAATTTTTTTACTGTGAACCGAATTGCATACAAGTTTGGAATTAGGTTCATCTTACCTTTAACTTCAAAAGTGAAAATGATTTGAACTCCGCAACCACTCTGGGGGTGTTTGCCACCCCTTCTCGTGGGTGATTTTTTTTTCAAAATAACCTCGGATATCGATAGAAGGCCTAATTGTAAGCAAAAAATCATTTATAAAGTTTTCGAAAAATCCAATACTTTTCAAGTTATTGGCAATTGAAAATTCGCAATTTTTTTACGTTTTTCATCGGTTTTTTGCAAATATCTCCAAAAATATACGTTGTATCGAAATTTTATAAAAAACAAAATTGCAGCAGGTAAAAAATGAACAATTTAAGTTTTTATAAACTATTCTAAGTGCAATATTAAGATAGATATTAAAGATCAAAGCCGTTTTTTATTTTGTTTGAAATTTAATCGATGTGGCCAATGCCATCTAGCGGCGAGCAGATGCATTTTAGGCATTCTAATAAAAAAGGGTTTTGTAGTGCTTGAAATAAGCTTTAAAATGAGCACTGTTAAAAGTCTTTTGCACGTAAAGTAAGTGAGCTAGCTGTATTGCAAATAAGAGGAGCATCTAATGTTTTTTCTTTTAAATCAATGGGTTTCATAGGTGCCATTTCCACCAAAATTAAAATAATCGTTTTCTGCCTAGAATTAACTTTATTATGAAGAATTTGATAGATTGTATCTGTTTGGCTGCTTCAGGACACATATTTTAAAAAAAGTCACGATTAAAAAAAAATTGAAATTAAAAAAAAAAACACGTTTTTTTCATAATATCTCAAATGACGACAGATATGTATAAAAGTGTATGGATAAAAAATGTAGGTATTTTTCTGACAAACAATTTGGTTTTTTTGTTTTTTCTGTCAAACAAAAATTGACGGAGATGTGATTGTTTAAAGAGCGCGTGGCAGCGCAATCACAGCCTCTCTTAAGCCCTTTAACCATTCACCGTTTTAGAAAAAGGTTTTTTACTATATATTGCAATAAAGGATGTTGTAGCTCTCTAAATTACCTTTACAATGGATGTTTATAAATTGTGATAGCATGAAAATTGAAGGAGTTATGATCCAAAAACTTATCATATTTTTTTCTACTTAGTAACTGAAAATTTCGGAATATTTGGAGCATTGTGAAAGTACGCAGTATAATAGACACCCAAAACTATTGTTTTGGGTGTTTAATATGAAATATGTTTCATAAAATCTAGCACATCTTGCATCAACAAAAAGTCCGACATAGACAAATTAAGTAACATTTATTGTTTATTTACTAGAAAAACACCAAAAATAAAATAAATATTTACCTGTACAAAAATTACACCTCTGTATAATATGTTGCATACCATTAAGACGGATTTAAAAAGTATAGTCACTAAGAAGGGCCTAATTTACACCTAATTACATATTAATTACACTGTTTTTTCTTTCCATTCTCTGTATGAGGTAATATACACCAGTAAAAACATGCCATCAATCAAGTTTTACTATTTTTACAACAAATTTTAAAAATTTTATGATGTATTATGTCCATAATTGTATATTTTAATGTGTGGTATAAATGTTGAGTGTTCAATGCTTACAAAAATAATCTCAACGACTAGTAAGTTACACTGAAGAATTGTGATATTTTTTAAATATTTACATAATTGTCTTTTACAGTGTCTTGAAAAAGGAATAAAACCATTCTGAAAGCTCGACAAAAAGTCAAAAGAGTGTTTTTGTAACATCCCGGCCAATATTCTGACTGCAACCCTAATAAACTGTGTTGTTTGTATATATTATATATATATATATATATATATATATATATATATATTATAACATAATATGGCTCATGTATTTGGAAACGTAGGCATGAATACATACAAAATTTGTAAATATTTTATTCAGTAAATGGCAATTTTTTACTCTAAATTAAATTATTTTTAAATATGTAATCATATATATTTACTGTTTTAATTTAGAGGCAGTTTTAAGGGTAGAAAAGCTTAAGAATATGATAATCATTTTCGAGAGTGTGGAATAATATTTAAATGCTTTTCATTTTATCAAAAAAAAAAAAAATTAACAATTTTTTTTTCAAGAATTAGTTTTCAAGGATTGAAAGGGGGTTAAATATTCGATAATTATTATAGAGAATATAAAATATTACTTACTCTATACTTACATCTTTTTATGCCATATCAAAGTATTTTTTTGTGATTTTTTCAATTTAGGGGTTGTTTGCAAGGGTTGTAAGATTTTCAAGGGGTTGAAAATGATTTTAATATGAGGTAAAAATCGGACAGTAATGAGTATTTTTCGCTTCAATGACTGCACTACAGGACTTTTTCCTTGCATTCTTGTGTTTAGTAATGTTCTATTTCTCCTGCTATCTCTACTTCGTTCTCACAGCTCTTTTTTAGTCTTCCAATAGGTCTTTTTCCTTGCATTCTTGTGTTTAGTAATGTTCTATTATCTCTTTTCTCGTGCATCCGGTCCGCATGTCCTCCCAACGTTATTGTTGTAGCCTAAATCGCCAGTTGCTATTTTCACTGATTGAGCCCAGTGTCCTCAGTAATATTTTGGTACCTTAATAAAAGCAAGCCAAAGGGTTTCGACCAACCAAGGCGAATCTGGACCACACTGAATAGAACGAACTGTGGCAGGCGCTCCTGATTCAGTTTTCAAGTGGGGAAACATATACCCCAAATTGCAATTGCAGTGCTACAAAACAAACGGTTAAACATCTGGTGGAGGAATTCGCGATTAAATCCTACAGTGGCAATCCGTCCGATTTCTTAGGTGCGATCAAAGAGTCATTATACTTGTCATCTCAATGTTTGTTTATCAACATTAAGTACATATTGTTATTTACTGTTTGTAATGTGTTGTCCTCTTTAATTATACAAAAATTTATATAAAATAAATTAATTAAAAAATTGCTTTTTCAGATTACGAACTTTTTGCCGAAATTTTGACACAAGCGCCGCTGAAAGCTCAAGGATTCCAATTAAAGGTACACCTTTCCGAAGAGGATTTACAAAGGATGACTGAATTTGCGAAAGAATAGATTCGACACTATTATGGTGTGTCTAAAAGAGATGCCTAGATCACTTTTATTAGTTATAAGGTAAGTTTATTAATCTTAATTCTTTTATTTTATAGGTTTTTTTTTATTTAGTTACGCTCTTTAGCAATCAAAACACAAATAGTGTTCTATAAGCTAATTTGCTGGCTGTAGAGCTCCTATTGGCTTGGTAAGGTTTTCTCCAGTGACCCCTTTAAGTGTTTCTCAGGTCAGCGGACCAGTTCCTTTTGAGGCTCCTATTGGCATTATGTTTTATTAAAGGTTGTATATATATATATATATATATATATATATATATATATATATATATATAAGGTTCTTGAACTCCTAAGTGGAGCATAGAGCTTCAGTGAAAACGCGCCATCGGGTTCTATTTTGCGCTAAGGCCTTCACCTCATTCCAAGACTTTCCTTGTTTTCTTATCTCGTCCATGATGGATCTTCTCCAAGTTTGTACTGGGCGACCTTTTTTTCGTTTTCCTTTGGGATTCCACTCTAGGGCAGTCTTTGCAATACTGGAGTTATTTTTTCGGAGTGTGTGACCGATCCAACCCCACTTTCTGGACTTTATTTCATTTACTACCCTCTTTTGTTTGGTCAGGTGTAGTAAATCTTCGTTTCTGATGATGTTAGGCCAGAAAATACGAACAATTCTTCGTAGACATTTATTAGCAAAGACCTGCAGTTTGTCTGTAAGGGTTTTTGTCGCTTTCCAGGTTTCACATCCGTAAAGTAGTACAGACATGACATTTGACTGGAATATGCGGATCTTTGTCCTCGTAGTGTAGTCTCCAGACCTCCAAACAGGGTTGAGCATGCTGAAAGCTTGTTGCGCTTTTCGTATCCTCATACGAATATCGTCTTCTGTACCTCCGCTTTCTGTTATGACACTTCCAAGATACGTAAAGTTTTCCACATTTTCAATCTGCATGTTATTAATGGTGAATAGCGTGTTGTTTCTTGCATTTATTCTCATGGATTTGGTTTTACCAATATTGATTTTCAAACCTATTTTATTGGCTTCAGTGGAAAGTGTTTCCAATTGGTCAGCCACATCTTGGAACCTTTGTCCTAACAGGCAGATATCGTCGGCGTATTCTAGATCGCTTAGGCGTGTGGTTAACGTCCATTGTATCCCTCTTGTGTCAGAGTCTAGTTTGGAGAGAACATAGTCTAGAGCTATGTTAAAAAGAAACGGAGAAAGCACGCATCCCTGTCTGACTCCAGTAAGTACGTCAAATTCGTCACTGTTGATCCCATTGTGTGTCACGCTGCATTTCGCTTCAATGTACAGTAACTTTATAATGGAAATTATTTTATGCGGGATGTTTCTTAGCTCTAAAATTTTCCATATCGCATAATGAGATAAGCTGTCAAAAGCACGCTCGAAATCAACAAAAACCATGTATAGGGGTGTGTTCCATTCAACCGATTGTTCCATTATTAGCCTCACAGTATTAATGTGGTCTATGCAGGAGGATTCTGGTCTAAAGCCTACTTGATTAGCTCGAAATTCAACCTTGTTTGTTAATCTTTTAAGAATGATGGTCGTGAAGATTTTATTTATGGCGGTAAGCAAGGTTATTCCTCTCCAATTTTTGCATAGTGTGAGGTTGTCCTTTTTTGGAAGCTTAATAATGATGCCTTTTTTCCAGCCCGCTGGAATGCGGTTTGTTTCCCACACCTCTCGGATTATGGGGAGCAAAAGTTCAGCAGTTAGATGCGGATCAGTTTTAAGTATTTCGGCAGCAATGTTATCGATTATTAAAGGTTGTAGTAAGGAGTTACTATGTGATTACACTCCTCGTGGTGCTTCGTGCTATTTTTAGTGATCACATCCTGTATGAACGGGATTCAGAGGTGCATCAGTTATCGTTCGCAGTATTTTCGATTGGCTTCCTTGAATTATGGTTGTATTTTACTTCCTCTCACATTCCCAGAGTTGGATTCCAGATAGGTTTTATGATAGCTTTATAGACAAGGATTTTATTTTCTAGGATTAGTTTCGATTTCTTACCGACTAGCCAGTTTAGATCTTTAATTCTTAGGTCAATTTGTTTCCGCTTCTTAAGAATATGTTCTTTCCAATTGAGTTTTGAGTCAAGATGTATTCCTAGGTATTTGGTGCTAGAAGATTGAGGAAGTTGGATATTGTTAAGTGAAACTGAGGGACACTGGTCTCTTCTCAATGTAAAAGTCACTTGGACTGATTTTGTTTCATTCATTTTAATTCTCCACTTGTTTGATCACGTCTCGATTTCATTCAGTTGCACCTGTAATATGTTAGATGCTCTCGTTGGATTTTCGTCGACTGCAAGGAACTCATCAGGAAATCACTCACCCAGGAAATCATCTACAAACGTAACAGGGATTGTTTCATTATTGGAGGGTAGATCTGCTGTGTATAGCACATATAATATTTGGTGCAAGAGCACTGCCCTTTGGGACAGCAGATTTTATAGGAAAATTATTGTAATTACTTTCATTCAGTCTTGTTCGGAATTCTCTCCCACTTAGATAGGATTTTAAGTGTCAGGTACGTGATGGGAAGATATTTCTTGATTTTGAAAATCAGGCCTTTTTCCCAATCATGTCAAAGTCTTGACGAACGTCTAGAAAGGCAGCTGTGCACTATTGTTTGCTTTCCATTGCAGAATTTATGGAGTGTACTATTCTGTGAACCTGCTGTATATCTATGTAACTCTGGTTGGTCTCTCAGTTGGTCTGTGTTGTTTTAACTGACAAGCATCACGTGTTAAAAATCGAGCAGGGAGACATGTAGTCCCTAAAGTAATTAAAATGTATCCATTGTCATCGACCTAGAGTCACAACATAATTAAAATGTAACATTTGGGATGATGTAAACCCATATATGGAGGTCTCAACGATAACTTTATTGTTAGCTTCAATTACACAAGGCACTGAGGATGATCTGTTCAGATCGAAAACGTTATGCTAGTACATAAATCTTGACGACACTTTTTTAAAAAGTTTTAACTATTTGTTTTTTATACCACAATACAAGTGTGAAGTGTTTTAACTTCTGTTTTTTTTTAAACGATGGTATACAGCCAACTACGGGGTTTTTCCCATTAATTTTATAAAAAAAACTAATTCTTCTTCTTAAGGTGCCGTGCATTTCTGCGTAGGCGTGCACCGTACATCGTCTTGTCAGGTGAGATATTAAATAGTCAGGATTCAATCATTCTGTAGTTAGCAGCATTGCGAAGCATTTCATAGCTGTAGATTCCTGTCTTTCTTCTCGTAATATGTGCCCCAAGTATGTAGTCTTCTTACTTTTAACATAACTAAAAAGTTCCCTATCCTGTAAGCCCGCTCTTCTGAGTACTTCCTCATTTCTGACCCTGCCCGTCCATGATATTCTAAGCATTCTACGCAGGCACCACATTTCAAACACTTCAAGTTTGTTAATGGAACTGGCCTTTAACGTCTATGCTTCCATTCCGTAAAAGAGAACAGGCCATACGTAACACTTAAGCATCTTGTATCGGAGGTTGAAGTCCAATTTGCGATCAGTCAGAAACTTACGAAGCCTCAAAAAAGCATTTCTGGCTTGTTCAACTCTGCTCTTTATTTCATTCTCTGGGTCCCAACCCTCGTTCAGCAAACAACCCAAGTATTTAAATTGCCTGACCTGTTCGATTTCTTCTCCAGAGACATATATCTTTGCGTTGGGGTAATCATTTCTACTTATAATCATTGTTTTTGTCTTCTTGATATTTATTTTCAAACCCGAGCTTCACTTGCAAGAGTTAGATCATTTAAAAGGCATTGAAGATCTTCGATGTTATCTGCCACTATGGCTGTATCATCGGCATACCTGATGTTATTAATAAATATGCCGTTAACTTTAATACCCTTATTAGAGTCTGCCACCGCATCTGCGAAGGCTTTTTCTACGTATAAATTGAACAGCATTGGAGACAGTATACAACCTTGCCTTACTCCTTTTTTAATGAAGAAATCTTCTGTTTCGTTGAAATTTTGAAGACGTACTGTTGCTGTCTGGTTCCAATACAGATTGGCGATAATTCTTATATCCTTGGCATCCAATCCCAGCTCTTGTAGGTATTTTATCATCAATTCGTGTTTTACATTATCGAATGCTTTTTCATAATCGATGAAACAGACAAAAACATCCTTTCTTTGATCTAAACAATTCTGTATTAATGTTTGCATACTAAAGATCGCTTCTCTCGCGCCAAGTCCATTTTTGAAACCAAACTGACTCCATCCACTGACCTCTTCACATTTCTTAGACAATCTAGTGTGCAGTATTTTCAGGAAAAGTTTTAAAAAGTGACTCATTAGGCTTATTAGTCGGTGGTCCTTGCAGAAGTTCGCACGTGGTGTTTTTGGTAGGGCAATAAATGTAGAGCGAAGCCAATCTTTGGAATCTGGCCCGTATCGTAGATGTCGTTAAAGAGCTTGACAATAATGTCTAGGTTTTCTTCATTAAGTAACTTGATTGTTTCTGCGTACATATCATCTGGTCCTGGGGTTTTGTTACTTTTTAATAGTTTGATAGCGTGTACAATTTCAGCTTTCAAAATACTCGGGCCATACAAATGGTCTCCCAGTTGTGGTGGTTTTTGTGTTCTGTCATCATTGAACAAATTGGCTGTGTACAATTTCCAAGTATTAAGTATATCGCTAGGGTCCGTTATTAGTTCATTTTGGTCATTATGTATACCAGTGACTTGTTTTTTCTTGAAGACACCAGCAATTTCCTTAATTTTCTTGTGAAGATTGAAGCTGTCGCCGATATATAGGTTTTCAGCCTCGGTGCAAAGTGTAGTCATCCAGATCTCCTTCGCCGCTATAATTTCTTTACGAATTTGCCTGTGTATATTTCGGTACCCTACTTGGTCCTGCCTAATCTTACACTGCCTGCGCTGTTCCATCATCTCTAATATTTCTTCTGTCATCCACTCATTCTTGGTAGTTGTTTTACTCTCGAGTAGAAAAGTGTTGTTCACCTCATCAAATGATTCTTTTATGGTGGTCCATGACTTTTCAACATCATCCTCAGTTGCCATATTAGAGAACCTATTGTGTACTATTCAAATAATCACTATTATTATGCTCTTTTTAACATAAAGTTTGTTTGAATTTAAATGTTATGTTCATTTTTAAAGACCCATAGCAGATAGTGGTATTGATGGTATCCGATTTACTGTTTGTTTTGCATTATTACGAAAGTATGTTCAAGATATGTATTAATCTTTGTTATTGAACTTTTAGAAACTTAAATACAATCCGTGCCATAGCTGATCAGCATGGCAATCCCATAGATAGATATACCACATTAGCAAGAACAGCTACAAAATCCGTTTATGGAGTACAATCAAGTATTGTTAAAACTATAGTAAACGTTCCTGCTAGTATGTATTTCGAAATTGTTCTACAGTAAGTATTCTTTTATTTATTAAAACATTTATAAACGCAATAAATTTTGTAGACATATTTCAAAACCTCGGGAACCATGGAAATACGCATGGTCGAAAAAAAATTACCTCTTTTAATTTCATATTAAATTCAATATAAATGCCTTAAAATTATTGTTTGTAAGAACAATAGTAAATACTCTATCTACTATTATCTATATTATACCTACTACTATTATTATATTATATCTACTATTATTATAAAGATACTATTATCTTTTTTACTCAAATAAAAGGCAGATATCGAGCAGTCTTTTTATTAAATCTTGCCCAAGTACTTTCGCTCTCAAATCATCTTCAGGGGTATTTCGTAAAAAAGTAGGCTATTCATTAGTGTTGTCAGGTTTTCTCCTATTAAATAGTATCTACTAAAAAATAAATTCTCCGCCACTGATACGCTTCTTGGTAAAACTCATAAAGACAACTAAATTATACGATATCACGAGTATGACTCATTTCATTATTTCTTTGCTGGAGTATAGACTGATGTCACCAAACGAATGCGTCAGGTTCACGAGATTTTAAACTTGACCCATAAATAAATTGACTTATCTCAAAATAACGTGTCATAAGTTTATAAATGTATGGTTTTTTTTAGGATAAGAAAAATTGGACGATGGTTTACAAAGAAAACGTACAAACTTCTTCATTATTTTGGACTTGCGCCAGATATTGAAATGATTGCATCAAAAATGAGGGCTGTGAATCTTTAAGTTTAAATATGTTCTCTATTATCTGTTAAATAAATGTTTATTTTTGACATTTTCTTTATTTCTCCAGTCTCGAAACTTGCACTCTTTTATAACCAAATGGCATATGCTATCAATCTTCCAAGTTCCAAATGAAGATTGTGAAGGGCGGCGAGGTATTCGCGTTCTCAAACGACCGTGCTGCCAACTGCTGTCAAAATAGATAACTAATAAAACAGGGCCGGTTTCAGCTTTTGTGGAGGAAGAGTTCTGAACCAAGTAGAGGATTCTTCAGTGCTTCCGCAGAAGACAGACTGGGCGGGGAAGTCCTCAACCCCGACACTGCGCGTCCCATATGGCTGATAGGGGACTGTCTGTATATTATACAGGTTAGGTGCAAAAAAGGTTCGCCAAATAAGCACCCGCGGATCAACTGAGGACATGGTATAGGGCAGCAGCTATGTCATTACTAACTCCAAGGCTGAGGAAGAATGACCTCTTAATAGGCTTGGAATCAGATACTTATGGGCGACAATCGGTTTAATCGGTTATAATACTGCAGTGTGTAAGGCAAGGAGAAACTAACGCACTAAATATTCTCAAGATATTATAACGATGGCAAGTTATGGAAAACAAAAGGCCCCTAGTCCGTGGCAGACCTTAAATGGTCAAGGAGTGCTAAGAATTTCCACGACAAATGCTATGAACCACCCGAAAGTGGAAAACAAAAATTACAAGTTAAAAAAATTGGAACCTCGAATGCAAAATCTCTCTTTATGCTAGGAAAATCTCTTAACATTGTGAGAGAAATGAAAAGAATGGGAGTCAACATTCTCAGAGTCGGTGAAGTTAGATATCCTGGATCTAGACACATCGATAACCATGTTATATACTATGCTGGTAATGACGATCCTCATCATTATAACGGAGTGGCATTTATAGTTGACCAGAAAAGCAGCAAATGTATAAAGAACTTTATACCTATATATGATAGAGTAGCTATGCTAAAATTAATACCACTCCTCGTAATATTAACTTTATTCAAGTATATGCTCCTACAGCAGAAAAACCAGAGAGAGAAGTACGAGAATTCTACCAAGAGATCAAACAGCTAATGAAGATCACAAAGAAAAATGCTGTAAACATTATTATGGGAGATTTTAATGCCAAAGTAGGTGAAGGGTGGACCGAAGACGTAGTAGGAAACTTTGGTTTGGGCCAAAGAAATGATAGAGGAGAAATACTGGTCCAATTTTGCCAAGAAGAAAATCTAATGATCGCAAACACCTGGTTTAGTTTAGCAAAACCACTTAGATTCGAGACTGTAACGTAACTTTGTAACTAAGTGTATCTAAATTTGATCAGATGACATCAACAGTCTCCAATTGTTTCTTCTATTAGTTAGACTAGTCTAGAGGATGCAAGTTGATTTTCTGCTCCCAAAATGTCCTGTTCCTGTGATCTACTTGTGTTTCCCTGTGATCATTATTTGCAGTAATAATTTACACAATTTTGGCCAGTTTTCTTAAAATTTATTTTCCACACATTTGATAATGATAATATTATATCAGGAGTTTTGGAGGAAGTAAAAGAAACGTCAATAGTATGGACGAAAAATATAAATAATTATTTACTGTTTATTAAAATTTAATAATCAATAAAAAAGTTATATAATTAAAATTGTTGATATTAATATGATTGTTAATTCCATTTAACAATTCAGCTAGATTTATAGTACAAATTATATAACACATACAACACCTATTCTGTAGCACTTTGTAATGTCTTCTGTAACAGTGCATATTTCTTAAATTGGTTATTATTGTATTGCAATATCTAAGGTCCCTATGCTGTTTTGGCTCGAATTGCAGCACGTTTGGAAGTGACAGCCTGAAAAATAGAAAAGAAAAATAAATAAAAACAACGAAAAATACTTTTTTTCTTGGATTTTAAAACCTTTGTCAGTGCTGTATTATAATAAATATTTGGCTGTTTATTAAGTTAGACCGAAAATAACTGATAATTGGTCATAATTTGTGACTAGATAGCAGTATACAAACACCATACAGGTGTTATACAAAAAATGTGTACCAATTGTTACTATTTTTGACTATTAGACACCTCGGTCAATCTTTTTCCTGTTAAATTCATCATAAACATTTTACTTTATGTTTTTTTATATTTGTATAACATATATATATTATATATATATATATATATATATATATAATTATATATATATATATTATATATATATAATCAAAATACTCTCGACCGTACTGTGTTAAATATTATTTGTAGTCTCAGCAATTGGTCTGTATGAAATAAAACTCTATTTGTTATTTCTCAATATTTCGTCACGATTTTGTGACTTCTTCAGGAGAAAACTGTAAATTTATTATAATTATTATATGTAAACAAAATGAATATTTCAATACTTACAACTTAAGATTAAAAATTTAAATTTTGATAACATATCCAATTAGATAAATGACATTTTTTTTATTTTAATTTATTTGGGAGTTATGGTAACCGCAATATTTTATAGAGTGAATTCCCATTGTACAATTTTTAGCGAATAAGTTTTAATAAACAATTACATATTGTGACAGTATTATCCATATAATAAGGTGGAAAAGTAGAATATTGAGAAAGAATCAGGAACATGGTAAATTGATCTATAAAATGTAATTGATGGTACGTAGTCAGTTATTGGTCTGATGTTGTTAGATACTGATATTAAGATCTATCATATCATATATTGTTTAGTATATTACAGTAGATATTACTTAAATGGTTGGTGTCTGTCTTATAATTGATAGATTCTGGAGTTTTATTAATGTGTACCATTTCAAGGAAAAGTCGATTTTTATAATTATCAATTTGTTCTAAGATTTTTACATTATTAAAGTCAAAGTTATGTCCTGTCTTTAAGTGGTGGTCCACTAAGGCACAAGAGTTTTTTCGTAAGTTACAGTCACTTTTGTGTTGAGTGACACGTTGTTTAAGCCACTGTTGACTTTGTCCAATATAACAACTTTGACATTGACTGCAATTTATTCTATAAATTATAGTACTCATTAGTGAATTTGGAGTTTTAACTTTTATTTTTGAGAACAACCTTGAATTTAGAAGTGGATTGTATTTTCAAGCCAGGATTTTCCCATTTTTCTCCCTTCGTCCAGTACTGTCCTTCTCCAAGTTCCCTTAGGTCTGCCTACTTTTCGCCGGCCTTGGGGATTCCAATCCAGCGCTGCCCTGGCAATGTCATTTGGCGGTCTATGGAGTGTGTGGCCCAGCCATCTCCATTTTCTTCGCCTTATTTGCTTTATGACATTTTCTTGGTTGCTTTGGTTCCATAAATTTTCATTGGAGATTCGGTTAGGCCAAAATATACGAAGGATTTTTCATAACGTTGTTATAACATATTTTATAAAAATTATGTTCACTCACTACCTTCATAAATTATAATAAAAAAATTCTAATTCGTTATACACACAACTACCCTAAGAAACCACAGTACTGATATAATAAAATTGTTTACTATACATACCTGGAAACCTGATTTAATACTAGCAACAGAACACCTAGAACCACACGTTTCACATTGTAAGAAGAACAATCTAGTGTCTTTTTGAAGAATTGTGTCTGGGGATCTACATGTATGACAAGTAACATATTCCTTAATGTATCTAAAAATAAACAAATAGATGTAAACATTTACAATAATTATTATAAACAACATAAAATAAAATTCAAATAGATCAAATAGGTATACAGAGTGGCCCAAAAGTCTGGAAACGGCTAATTATCTCGTAAAATGCTAATCATAATTGTACAAAATTTGAGGTACACCTATGTTGGGATACGGAGATCCATATTTGATATTTACAATGTTGCCAGATTTGCCGTTTTTCTTATATTATTAGTAACTTTGGTTTTTCAAATACACCACCCTGTATATTCAGTCATTATTGGAATCTCCTATTCAATACGAGTTCAACTATATGTAACACTTATGATTTTATGTAATCTGGAAGGTCATAAATACATAAAACCGAAGTCTGGCAACGCTAAATTGTTTCAATAAATTTTTTAATACTATTTTCAAATACATTAAAATGTAACAATTGATAGTTTAGAATATTTTTTAACATAATAGTTACGTTATTAAGTGTTCAAAATGTGCTCCATTTGTGAGTTGTCAGCACTCTAATCGTTGGTAGAATGCGTCTACCACATTTCTCCATGAGTGTCTAGAAATTATTCGAGATTCATCGATAATTCATTGTCTTAGCTATGCAAGACTTGTGGTTAAGTTTTGTAAACTGAATTTTTCTAGTATCTCTAATAAAAATAATCTTTAGGATTGAGATCGGGTGAACGTGGAGGCCATTCAATTCTACCTTGTCTACCAATTTATCGTCCGGGAAATATCTCATCTAAATAACGCCGAACATTTACACCAACTATCTGACGTTAAATTTCTTTCGATAAAAAATCGCCCAATTAAATAAGTACTACTATATACTGACCATACATTTAATTTTTGTGGTATTTGAGTATGGTTTTAATGTATTTGAAGATAGTTAGTATTAAAAAATGTATTGAAATTTAATTTTAGGCGTTGCCAGACTTCTGTTTTATGTATTTAAGACCTTCCAGACAACATAAAACCATAAGTGTTACATATGGTTGAACTCGTATTTAATAGGAAATTCCAATAATGACTGAATATACAGGGTGATGAATTTGAAAAACCCAAGTTACTAGTAATATAAGGCAAACTGAAAATCTGGCAACATTGCAAATACCAAATATGGAATCTCTGTATCCCAAAATAGGCGTATCTCAATGTCTAGTAATTTAGGAGATTAATTAGCCGTTTCCAGATTTTTGGGCCACTCTGTATATAGTTATGTGTAATTACTGGTTCGGACTTAATTCAAACTGCACGATATCAGGTATATGATATGACACATGATCATTATTATAATAGTGTGAGTGGCATGATACATGCCACTCACACTATCCAATAACTTATCTGAATACAAATATTGTTTTGCCCAATCATTGCGTGATAAAAGAAAGCAGTACTAGCACCCGATTACACATTGTTTTTGGACGGATCTTGTAAATCCTACTTCTGGAACCTCTTTAAATGAACATCAGTGCTGCACATGGTCCACAGGTATCAAAGTTGATCTATTTGACATTCTTTGCCGTTTTAGAGATAGTGATGATGATATCCAACCTCCGATTGGGCGACGGCACTTAAAGAAGAAGCCGTTTTAAAAATACTCCAATTTGTTTGTACCGCTGATATTCAAGTCAAATAAATATCAACCCAAATCAAACCTTCCTGCAAAATATACCGAGGAGAGATGATCCATCTAAACCACTTCTAAACTACTCGAGATATAAAAAGAGCTTGCATTTACTTTTCTTCTTCTTCTACTTTTTGTAGAACTTTCGATCTGTTTAAATTCTGAAAGCTGCCTCTGGTTAATTTCTTGGGAGGTAGATTGCCAACTATCCCTCCTCTTTTAGGAGTGGTCTTCCGGGGGGTCTTGAAACCAGGCGGATTGTTTTCTAGGGCAATTTTTGGGAGTCTATTCTCATCCATTCGTCTTACATGGTTGTACCACATCCTCTTGCGCTGTCTTCCCCACATTTACAATACTCTTGAATTTTGCACTGCTCTCTAATGTTTGTATTTCTCACTCTGTCCCTTCTTGTTTTCCCCATTATTGTTCTTTAGGGTTTTTCATTTCGGAAACCCTTAGCATCTGTTTCGTTTTGTTGGTATCTTCGCGCACTTGCTATGCCATATGTTCATGATCGGTCGTATGCAAGTCTTATAGATTCTAATTTTACTATCTGCTGCGCATATACGGATTAGACCAGACTATCTCCCGCAGACATCCTGACAGTGCAGATGCTTTGTTGATCTGACTCCTCAGGTCCTTTACTGGGTCATGGGTGCTTGATATATCTATGCCCAGATATCTGAATTCGCATCACTGTTCTATGGGGTTGTCCTCAACCACTAACTTACATCTGAGCGGATCTTTTGCTATTGTCATACATTTAGTTTTGTTGGTAGAGATGTTCATATTTAATAGTCGGCTTGTTTGAAAGAACTGAAAGAGCTGCCTTTGGAGATCATCTTCTGATTCGGCAATAATTGCTGCATCGTCTGCGTAGCACACCATACCAATTCTTTTGTTGCCCATTCTATATCCGAGATTAAGAGATGTTACTGTGTTGATAATTTTGGCCATGAGAAGATTAAACAAGAAGGGGCTTAAAACTGTCGCCTTGTCTAATTCTCCGGTGTTGGAATATTTTCAGTGAATTCGTCTCCTGCTCTAACTTTGGTTACGTTGTGTTGTTTACGTTATGGAGTATCTATGCATTTACTAATATACAAAAATACCCCTCGCTTGTGAAGTATTGATTACACAAACTTACGTAGACGACACCCTCTGTGGTGCCGAAACTGAACTGACCTAGAAACCACATATCACGAATTAAATAACGTTCTAGAATCTAGGCAGTGGCTTGCATTGCAATTCTCAAATGGGTTTCCAATTCCACAAGGTTCACTGAAAAATATTGTAACAATGATCAACCCACTTCATATGATATCCAAATCGAAAACACCTCTAATAAAGTTTTAAGACTTTCATGGAACCCTTCTCCAGACACACTCTCAATTTCGATGCCTGAAGCCCATACTGCTGACACTCACGTTACAAAAAGAATTGCCTTATCCACTCACCTATCCTAGCTAAAATATATGACCCCTTAGGGTTGATAACTCCTGTGATTCTACATGAAAAGCTATTCATTAAGAAATTTTTCCTCGAACGAACGGACTGAGACGATATATTGCCTCCCTCTTTGTAAAAAGAATGGACAACCTTTGTAAATAATATACCTCACTGAAAGTCCTTAAAAATCCCACCTATTTCTTAATAAAAAAAATCGAACACATACAAATTCATGGCTTTGCTGACAGCCGCGAAAGGCCTTATGCAGCATGCATTTATTTTCGTACTGTATGCTCTGATAACACAGTTTCCTGCTTACTGGTCACAGAAAGATCTCGGGTAAGCCCTATCAGGACAATTGGCCTACCTAGACTTGAACTCTGTGCCATGTTACTCCTCTCAAAACTCACCAAAAGAATCATATCAATATATGAAAACAAACTGTCATTCTCTAGTGTCAATTTGTGGAGCGATTCAAGGATAGCACTATCTTGAATACAATCTTACGCATCCCGTTGGAATACCTTTGTTTCCAATTCTAGTTGCTCAATTTGCTGAAATAAAAAATGCCTTTCACTGGCGCTACATAAAATCTGCAGAAATGCTGCCGACTTCCCATCTCGAGGATTACTAGTCCAAAAACATTTTAAAATTAGATTTCTAAGATTTTCTATATTTTCTAGAATAGTGCACTCAATAGCATATGTTCACATATTTATTCACAATTCAAGATTTCCCACTAAAACTCTTATTGGTCTACTATCTGTAGATGAACTCCTAACGTCCACGAACTCAATTTGTAAAATTGTTTAACACACTTCAGTTCAGAAATCTCCGAAATCCAAAATAGCAAATCACTGTCAAATAAAAACATGGTCACTCTCTTAGCCCATTCATAAATCATTTTGGTTTTTTATGTGTCGGCGGACGCTTAAAAAATGCAGACATTCTAGAATATCACAAACACCCTATTTTACTTCCCTCTAAATCATATGTAGTCACTCTATTGCTTTCACATGAATATACTAGACTTGGTCATGTCGGACCACTAGCCCTACTTTCCAACGTCAGAGAAAGATTTTGACCCTTGAATGGCCTCAGGAAATTAAGAAAATTATTCGAAATTGCTCTACTTGCTTTAGATTTCGCGCACAACCTGCACAGCAAATCATGTCCGATTTATCAAAGGAAAGAGTTTTGACCTTACGCCCTGTCAAAATGTTGGGACTGACTATGGTGGACCACTTATGATAAAAATATGTCGCTTTTGTAAGGCCCCTCTCACAAAATGTTATGTGGCATTCTTTTTATGTATGAGTACAAAAGCTGTCCATATCGAGCTCGTATCTTCTCTCTCTGGTGACTAAAACGTTTTATTGCTCGTAGAGGGAACCCCTCTGTAATTTTTAGCGATAACGGCACCGATTTTACTATTGCTAATAAGTGTCTTCGTGAACTGTATGATTTCCTCAAAACCTATAAAAATTCTACTTCAATTCAAAACTTGCCTCAGAAAATCTAATAAAATGGAAGTGGATACCCCCTCATAGTCCTCATTGTTAAGGCCATAAAATCTACAAAATTTCATATTCGTCGAATATTAGGCAACGACCACTTTGCTTTTTGAAGAATTAGCTACTGTTCTAATTCAGATAGATGCTATATTAAATTCCAGACCAATTTGCCATCTATCTAGCGACCCGCTTACTGAAAATGCCTGACTCCGGGACATTTTCTTATAGGCTCTGCACTCACTTCTTATCCTGAACAAGGAATCACTCACATACCTGAAAATAGACTAAACCTCTTTCAACGCTGTACTCAGCTTCAACAGCACTTTTGGAAGATATTGTATTTGGAATATTTAAACAGATTACAAGGACGGTCCAAGTGGTTTCAAATTACAGAAAATTTTCTACTTCATAGCTGTCGTTTTAGTTTGAGAGGTAGTAAAATAACCGTTTCAACAGGAATTTTCCTATCATAACTTCGCTCTTAATTACTAAACTGAGAGATGAAATCTCTAATAATATTTCCATATCTATTGGAGTATAAAGATAATGATCAAATAAAATAGATTTTTTGCATTTTAATATACATACAACAATTATCTTACCTCCTGAGTACATTTTCAATTTGTTTCTGTTGGAACCTTCCTTTAATGATGAGCTGATTATTACCGTCCACAGACCCGCTGGTACCCAATTCAGCTAGTAAAAAGTCTAAAAGATGTTTGGGTTGACGATGAAGCATTTTGCAGATCTCTGTGAAATTCGCAAATGACGTCTTTTTGGCGCCGATTTTGACTACTTGAGGAGGTCTCATGACGAACTTCTGTTTCTTACCGGCAGCCATATCTGGATTTTTATCTCTCATTATTTCAAAGGCACGGTTTAGTAATTCGTCATATGTGTAGTCCCGATCCGAATTGACCCATTGTGTTGAATTTTCATCTACTGTTGAGAGTTAAAAAATTAATTAAAATTAGTTAACAATAATTTTATAGATCAAAAAAATTGTATCAGTAAATAATATAAATAGAGAAGAAATTTGAAAGGAGCTCGATTTACATTGTTGCACCATTGCATTCATGAACTGGGAAATATATCGATTTTTCATCCTCCTGTTGGACAAAGTCGAGTTTCAATGAGTTTATGCCAAATTATAAAACAGAAGAACCAATTTGGCATTACCATTGAAGTACAAAAAAATCTTTTTACCATTCCAGAACTTACCCATCAAATATTAGAAATAGAACAGGGGAGATCATTGGTGATCAGTGCCAGATACTAGAAAGATGGACAGAAAACTTTGAGGAAAGGCTAAATATAAGAGGTGACACAGGGCTCCACGAATCAGAAATCCAACTCGAGGACAATGACAATGAAAGAGAGAAAGATAACATCCCAACAGAGGTAGAAGTTGTCCAAGCTATACAGAAATTGAAAGAAAACACAAAGCTCCTGGGGCAGATGGCATTACTTCAGAACTTTTAAAGCACGGCCAAAAAACCTGACATATGTAGACTGACTGTATATGTGATCTGGAAGCACATAAAGTTGCCAGAAGACTGGCATATAGGTATAATTGTACCTATCTACAACGTAACATACAAAATATTGGCATATATTCTTTACGAGCGGCTATCGGGATATTGTGAAGACATATTAGGTAAATATCAGTGTGGGTTCGTAAAGAAAGATCAACAACCAATCAATATTCCTTCTAAGGCAAGTTCTGGAAAAAACATATGACTATGGCATTGATACTCATCACACTGTTTGTTGATTTTAGATGTGCCTATGATAAAATTCAGCCTCCCAGTACACTTGGTAAAATTGAGAATGTTGAGAGTACGAAACTGGAAAGCCAAGGCAAATAATAGGAGAGAATGGAGACTTATCCTGGGTTGTGGAGCCAACGATGATGATGACCCATCCAGAAAATATCTATACAATTCAGGCCCTAGACCTCAATAAAACCAATGAAATTGACTCTGTATTTACTAAAATGCTAGGCCACTGGGATATGTTGAAAAATAAAAAGTAAAGAGTTGGTAAAGTACTGCGTTTAGAAGATGATAATTGATAGTTCTCTGAGTATGCTACAAGATCATATGAAGGATGTTGTTGACAGATTAGAGACAAATTGTGAACAATTATAACAAGCAAATTAGCTTTTCCAAAGATAGACCATGGGCTAAAAAATCTGGATTAGAAGATAATGGAAAGTGTGATTGAAGTGTTTTTTCTAGAAATCGGTGTTTAAATTACTGTGTGCTGCTTTTATCCAAAGGATCATGCCCATTAAAATGGTGGAGAATTCTTCCTTAAAGGCTTGTGTACACAGGAACTGGGAACACCTGTCACTTTTGCCACGAAGAACAAATACCAATAATTTATGATCGGGACAGTCAGTGCAGGGAGAGGAATTTAACATATGCCTATCAAGCCTTCAAATGTTATCAGTGAGTGAAACATGCCCACAAAACCGGCAGAAAATAAATACAAGTTGTAAATAAATAGTGTAAATAAAAAATCCATATATTTGATTTAAATGTTACATTATCTTTTATAACACAATCTGGTGGGTAATATGATGATGAAAATCTTGAAAAAGGCGATTAACGTTGAAGTTTTAGTTCATTTTGTCATGATGATTTTATACTGTTTAAAGGTAATTAATAAATACCATGATACTATAACTAGTATCATGAATAAATACTAATAAAATCTTGTATGAATAATCTTAACTTGCTTGATGTTACCTGTTTCTGATACTGACTCCACAGGTGGGCAGCATGTAGGACAAAGATATAAAAAATTATACTCTCTATATAAAATGATGCTTCATACATTTCAGTAAGAATAACAACATTGTACAACTTACCATTCTCCTGATCATCATCCTTCTCCTCAGTTTCTGCAATAAGTTCATCTAAATTCTTGGGTTTCTTGGTTTTTTTCTTTTTCTTTTTACTAAAGTCCATATCTAAATCAAAGTTATCATCCATACCCCCATCATTGTCCCCAGCTCCATCTTGAGTAGCTTCAGCTTTATTATCAGCTGGGGAAGAATCTAAATCATCAGCTGAGAAAGGCTTTTTCTTTTTCTTCTTCTTTTTAGTAAAATCTAAATCAATATCCACGTTTCCATCATCCTGATCGTCATCAGGTTTTGATTCAAGATTATCAGCGTCTGCAGCTGGAGCATTCCCTGAATCATTTTCAATGTTGCCTTCAGCTAGAGCAGCATCAATGTCGAAAGTGGTCTTCTTCTTCTTTTTCTTCTTTTTGAGGGTTGGATCAAAGATCTGTAAATAGAATTTAAAAAGTTAGAGACAACTATTTTGTATATAATTTGACTGTATGTTACAACCTAAGTATTCGAGAAAGCATTAACTTTTGAGCCAACTTTTTATTGATGACTAAACAGCTTCTTGTATGTAAACAAGAAATGTTCTTTACATTTTAAAGCTAATTGAATTAATCTAGGTACAATTAAAAGGAAATATAAGAAGAATGTGGCTCCTTCAGCTGTTCTCCAGTGAATTAGAAAAGAAGTAACAAAATTATAATGACAAGCTAGAAAAATGTAACGTCATGTAATTGAGATCGAAAAATGAAAACATTAAATAATTGCCTAAATAAACAAATTAATTATAAATGTACAAGATACAAATGATGGCAGACAGATCAATTTCATTCTTTATTCTCTAAGTTTTTAAACCTACTGCCATCTTCAACAAAATATCTAAATATTGGTTTGATATGTTAGTGGTTTCATTAGATCGAGTTGTCAGGAAATCTGTATTTTTAATCCACTTCAAAACTTCCTTGGTACACTATTTTAAAATATCAATTTGCAATCAATTTTTGAAATAACTAATTCGCTAAATATTTCTAACTTTAAAGAACCTTTAATCTCATTGTGATCTGTAAGTACTAATTTAAAAACACTGCAAAATTTGACTATATTTTGTTTTACTAAAAATTTGACTATACTTAATGTGAGAATATAATATTTGAGGTAGAACTAACTATTTTGTGCGTAAATGTAGAGAAAAATCGGAATGTCTCCAATGAAGGTGGAAGACAAAAATGTGACGATGCAACAATTTCGATTGAAAATGGCTAAAGAGCTGTGTGCTATTACTGAAAAGCGACTTGTTGGATGACCATTGTCCTAGCCAGCTAGTAGTTCTGCCATTGGTAGCTGTTCATTAGATGGATAGTGTAAGATATGATGGATTAAATCATTGGCTTCAATGGGGATAATAAAAGTCTAAGGTCTGTCGCTCATTCCTTTTGCACTAAGTGCAATCTTTATTTGTCCAACAGGAAAGGTAAAATTTGCTTCACATAGTATCACACCAAATCTTGATACCTTTTTGTTTATTTACTTGTAATTTTTTACAATAAAAATATTATTTTTGAACAACTAACATATTATGGTGTTTACATAAATTTTCCTTCTGAACGACAAGACTGTCTGCAGATGATCTAACCTTTATTGAGCTGGCGACCAAACACACAATATCACCAAACTGCTTTCAGTTTTCCCACATCCTAATTACCCTAAAACTAAAATTTCTGAAACTTAAAACCTGCTATTTCTATCTTACTGATTAAAGGATTAAAACCAGATATGTAACAGAATTTTATCCAATTGAAGTGGGTGTAAAGTTGAAAAGATTCAACCATTCAATCTACAGCAACATTCTATAGGCTACCGAAAGATCAAAATGAAGATAATTTTGAAGATGAATTGCTAAATGAAGACATTACTGAACATTCTAAAGTTAAAGATGTTTGAGCTAACCTTATACATATAATATTTTTGTGTTATGGGAAATCTAATAAGAATAATTAATATACATGTATTGTTTGTAATTTACTCCTCCCATCACAAATTGTATAATCAAAATAGATATTAAATCATAGCTAATATTGATTGGAGTGAATCTATATGTGGCTAGTAGTTTTGAAGCAAAATTTCAATATTTTATGATACTTTCTTATATTATTATAATATTACTTTCTTAAAGCGTAGAGTAACTACCAGACCAAAACAAAAAAACGTGATTTGCACCTCATATTAAGGGTTTGCATGATCAATTGTGTCAGATGAATGTATTAAGAAAACAACTCAATAACCCAGAGTATTTGGAACGATACAAGAAATTTAAACAAGAATATCAAACAATTGTTAAAAAACATAAAAATGAACAATATGATAATCAATTTAGAAATAGCAATAATGTAATGAAAGAAAGTTGGAAAATAATTAATAAAAATAGAGGTAAAAATTGTCAATCAAATCAAAATTTAATATCTTTTAGTAACAACGGTGACTTACAAAATTATCATAATGCTGATCAAATCAACAATTATTTTATTAATGCTGTAAACAATAATGAACTATGAGTTGTAAACCGTACCACACAAATTGACCAATTCAATTCAAGTTTCTTTTTATCACCAACCACTGAAAAAGAAGTTATATCTATTGTATTAAAAACTGCTTCTAAAACAGCTGCAGGGGTAGACGAAATTGATGGAAAAGCTTTGAAACATGTTGCCACTTATATAACTTTACCACTATCTTATCTCATAAATGAATCATTTACATGCGGAATATTTCCAGATATAAAGGAATCGAAAGGAATCCCTATTTTTAAAAATAAAGGATCTGCAACAGATATTGCAAACTATAGGCTGATTTGTGTGTCAAGTCAGTTCTCTAAAATATTTGAAGCAGCGTATGCAAATAGATTAACAGATTATTTAGAACATTTTAAAATTCTTCCTGTTATTCAAAACGGGTTTAGAAAAAAGAAATCTACAAATACTGCTATTTCTGACTGTCTTCAATTTATTTATAAAGCATTAAATGATAAATTAAATGTGTTGGGTCTTTTTTATGACCTTAGTCGTGCATTTGATACAGTTGATCGTGAACTCTTACTACAAAAATTGCAGGGTATTGGAATACGTGGTATACCGTACAATTGGGCCCTATCTTATCTAAGTAATAGAACTCAAGTAGTCACAGTGGAAAATGTAACGTCCAGGCCACTTCAATGTACGATGGGTGTACCTCAAGGCTCAATACTTGGGCCTTTATTTTTCATTATATTTGTAAGTGACCTAAACACGTTTTGTTCAATGCCAGATAAAATTGTTCAGTATGCTGATGATACCAATATTCTCATGTCTCACAGTGAACCCATACAACTGGTGGAAAATACCAATGTTGTGTCTGCTGAATTTAGCACATATTGTAAAAATAATGGACTCAAGCTCAACGTAACAAAAACACATTTTATGCGTTTCTTACCAAAAAACTTAACTCCAAATTCTGACTTTTATTTACATGTGGATGGCAAATCAATAAAAAGTTATACTACAACGAAATTTTTGGGGGTAACCCTAGATCATAAACTTACATGGGAAAGTCATGTAAATCATGTATCAGCAAAGTTAAGTACATGTAGCTATATAATCCGTAATTTAAGAGAAACTGTCTCATTTGATATATTGCGAATGATTTACTTTAGTTTAGTGCAGTCTGTACTTCAGTATGGCTTAATATTTTGGGGTTGCTCATCTCATTTTGAACGGGCATTTATAGCTCAAAAGAAAGTTTTAAGAAGTATATATGGTGTTCCATTTTCAGATAGTTGCAAGCCACTATTTAAGAAGTTTAATATTTTAACACTACCTAGCCTTTTAATTTTCCAATTAATATTGCACATTGAGGAAACAAGCTCAAGTTTGTCAGAAATGAGGACATTCACTCACATGATACCAGGGGTAAATCAAATTTTTGACAACCTTTCTCTAGATTAGGTGTATCCCAACATGCACCTGAATATATTGGAATAAAATGTTACAATAAAATAGTCAATATATTAACTCTCAGTAATTCTTCACATAAAGGTTTTCGCCAAACTGTGTATTCGTTTTTAATGGACAACACATTCTACAGTGTTGATGGATTTTTAAATTTTTAACATTTTTGCAACAATAGTTCTAAATTTGTATTTGTAACTTGTATTTGTAACTTTTATTTCTTATTTATTTTATTGTAATAACTGTTTTATTTTAATCATGTGTACTTTTGCTATATATTGTACTCTTTTGTACTAAAATTTTGACTAGTCTGATAAGATTTATACATTTTTTTCTTGTAAAAATTGTGTAAACTTTGTGGATGAATAAATTCTATCTATCTATCTATCATTAGTGTAATTTCTTTGGCAATTAATTAAATTTTGTAATAGTTTGTTATTCTAAGATGTTTCTATTTTAAAAATGTATTGTTTTTGAAGTGTAGCTTTGTTAAAACTTTTGTAAACTGATTCCGTTAATAAATAAATATTTTCTTAAAAATACCAATGCAAGTGAAATATCTTTTCTGGTAAACTGTGGCAGAAAAAATTATACTTAATTACCTGTGAGTTGGCCACACTCAAACTGATGGTGATTGAGTGCAGTCAGTAGTCAAAATACAAAAGAAAAGAGAACACAACGAAGTTGCCTATTTTGGTCTCTCAGTTGGCAACAATTATTCAGCAGGCAAAAAAAATAGAAAAATTATGCTGTAAAAGAAATAAAGTATAATGAACTGTATGATGCCAAGAAACTTTCAACAGCTATTGGAAAGAAGTGCAACAAAAAGATTGATGGAGATAATGCCATGAAATAAGATATGAGTAGTTGAAGTAGAAAAGGAATATAACAACTATTTCTATAAAACAAACTATTAGGATGAAAATTTTTTAAAACAATTGAGATAAAAGACAAGGCAGATGCTTATCATAGAGATTCAGCAACCATAACACTAGTAATTGCCTTTTTGCCACCACCTGATATTTTTTTTTAGCTAAGACAAAAAGTTCAGTGTGGATACATGATAACTTATATATAAGTTTTACATATCTTTGCCAACCAATAATGAAGGTCAACATCATATTTTTCAATATCGTATTTTTAAACTTAAGTCAATTTTAATACAGTACAACCTTATTACAACGGACCTCTATTTAACGGACTTTAGATATAATGGATAAAAAATCTGGTCAGTAAAACTGTATTTTACAAAAAATTTCAATAAAACTTAACATAAGAGGAGCATAATTGAGAATACGACCAGAAGAGGTGAAATGTTTATTGCTTTTAGACAATGTTCCTGCTCACCCCTCTGAAACTATTCTACGTTCAGAAGTTGGCAACTTTAGCTGTATGTTTTTGCCAAAAAATACATCACATATTCAACCCATGCATCGCAGAAAGTTTTTAGATGAAGTAATGGTTGTATTGCACAATGAAGATAATGCAGAATATACAAGAAGACAGCTTAGCTTGTAAACTTAAGGTCTTACAATTTAAAATCAACATTTTTTAATTTTTCTGCAGCATGGGAGGAGGTAAAACATTAAAAAATGGTTGGAAGAATTTGTTTGATTTTGCCATTCTAAGTGTTGACATGTATTTTATCAGAAAATTGTGCAACATTACCCTGGAGTAAGTTTATAACAATATGATTTCAATGAAAGTATGTATAATGATTATACATACTTATCACTAACATTTCATGGGCCATTTACAAAACTACTGTCAAATAAAGAACAACTGTTTACCAAAAGACTATCCGCATAAATGTACCGTCATTTAATATATTCAGTATTCTGTTTTTCATATTCCAGCTTTAGCTAAAAGTTAGGAGCTACAGGTTAACAACAACAGATAAAAGAACAAATAGTGCAGAATATGACACATATTTACAAACCCATTTATACTCATATATTTAGTTAATTTCTAAATAAAATGTCTACGAAGTTAGGATTTGTACTTTAACACATAAAATGCCCATTTTGAAATTCGAAATCTAAACTGAAGAAGAAAATCCCAAATTATATTTGATCAATATCTATAGAGAATTAAAATATTCTTTAAAACCTTATACCTACTATTCACTGCACTTGGAATTATACAAATTATTTTAGCCAAACCCAAAAATACAGCTATTTTGGAAATGAACTCAGCATATGCAGACATACAGTGGGAGGTTAAAAACATGATATTTTATTGAAATTATACTTACTGCATCGTCTTCGGCCATTGTAGAAGTAACCGATATGCTTTAACTTTTTGTATAGATGAGTTTAGTCTATTTATATATTGTAAATTTATAGAAAACCCCTTTATATAGAACCAAATCTATTGCATCAGCCAGGTTGTCAAAAAACCACATGGGTATAAAGAAACATCAAATTCAGTTTTCATCTGTCATCAAAGATTTAAATAGTATGTTCCGAACTTAGATTTATGAAACATAGTAGCTAGAGAATTTTTTATTTTCAATATTTTCTTATTTGTATATAAGTTTCAATATGCGTATGATTATTCTAATTCTCTAATACGGGCTTTACACCAACAATAAATTCACGAAGAAATTCATGAATTTATTCATCAATTTCTGTGTCAATAAATTCGTGAATTTCTTGGACGTAAAAGTTTCTTTGACTTCAAATAAATTTTTACATCAAGTGTCATTATTTCAGTAGTACCAATGGTTTTATTATTGGATGTTATTTATTGTTGTTTATTTGAATAAATATATATTTGGATTTGAAAATATAATAATAATCAGAAAACAATATCGCTTTAAAAAGAATATAGTGATTAAGATTGTACATTGCTGAACAAGCTGCTACAAGCTGAATTCGCGAATTCTGTAAAGAGTAAGAACTTGAACAAGAGCTAAAAATAAGTGGAAATTACATTATTAGTGAAAACTTTTTATTTTAGACATAGAAGATAATTTCAAATAACTTTAATAAGGACAACATAGATAAAGAAACAGAAAAAGTGGTAATTTGATTTTTTTATATGAAAGAACAAGAAAATCTAGCATTCATTACATACTAAAAATTAACTGTAGTTAGTATAAATGGTAATCAATTCATTGTGACTTTTAGAATGAATAAAGTCTTTATTTAAATACAATACCTGCCTCAACTAAGTAGAAGTAAAGAAGAGAGAAAGCTACAATATTTTTTATAATCTTTTAACCACTATTCATAATATATTCTCAAGAGATATTTACCTAATATAAATAAATAGCTATGTTTATTGTTGAAAGAATATTGAGGTGTGTACAATTCTAATCACAAAGAGATATTGTAGAGAAATGAATACTTAAAATAAATAAAACATGTAAATAACCAGTAATACTTTACCACTAGTTTGTGAGCTGATTCTTTACAATTTTAATGATTTGTCTTTATTACAATTTGCTTTATTGAATAGTAGGGTAGGTTAGGACTAAACTAAATAGGTGTATAAAAACAATAATTTTTAAATATATAATTTAAATAATAAATGAAGAATCATAATAACAGGAATAAACATAGTAAGACATTTATATTATTTAGATGTCGGGGTGGTATACAAGGGGAGAGGAGCACCATGCGAGTAGGGGGGGGGGGAGTGGGGGGGGATTTAGGTTGAGAGAGCGAGTGGGAGGAGGGGGGGGAGTGTGGGGGTGGGTGGTGGGGGACACATTTTGAGCGCGAGTGCTCTCTGGGGGGGTTTGGAGAGGGTTTAGGAGTGGTTTGGTGGTGGGGTTATGTGAGTGAGGTTGGTTTGGGGGGGTATGTTGATGTGGTAGTGATTGTGGGGTGGAGGGGGGGGGGGGGGGGGGTGGGGGGGGTGGGTGGGGGGGGGGGGGGGGGGGGTGGGGGGGGGGGTGGGGGGGGGGGGGGGGCTGGGGGGGGGGGGGGGGGGGGGGGGGGGGGGGGGGGGGGGGGGGGGGGGGGGGGGAATGGGGAAATGGGGGGTGTGGGGGGTGGGGGAGATTTTATAAGGATTAGGTAGGAAGTTCAATAATGACTTTATTTAGCAATTCATCTTCAAAATTGTCTCCACTTTGATTTTTCAATTGAATCATTTCAACTATACAGCCACTTTCATTGGCTAAAATTGGAAACTTTCTTCTTCCATACACATTCTGTTACATATCTGGAATTCATTGCACAAAATTTCAGGATGTATTAGTGAATTGTTTTAGGGGACAGTCTGAATGTGAATTTAAAATCTAATCAATAATATAGAATTATTCATACACCTGGTTCAAAAAAATAGATGAGTTGACTCAATGCAAAGTTAATTTGAAAATCCTATCAATAATACAATATTATCCATACCTATGGTTCCTATCAATAATACAATATTATCCATACCTGGTTCAAAAAGAAAATATATCCAGGGAGTATCACCAAATTATCAGAATGTAAAATCTCTAAATTCTTTTTTTTTGAGAATCCTGAGCGGAATGTGACAGCCTAGGTACTATCACTCCATACTTTTCATTTTGCAATCTTATAATACTTGGCATTTCAAAGAAAACCATCCTTTCCTGTTTCAGAAATCAATAGCATCCATATCTCTTGGAAAACGTTGATTAATCCATTTTTAAACTTTCAAGATGATAAAAACATTTACCTAATGACTAGACCAAGTAAAAGATAGGAGTGAAGAAAAAGGTAGAACTATATAATCTTTTATTAACAAATATTTACTATATATTCTCAAAGCATTAAATAAATAATATTTGAAAAAAAAAACATGTAAGAAAGGGAAAAGTAAACAATATTTTAATAAAAACTAGAGTTTTCTGCCTCGAAATTTTATGTTTTTCCTAAAAAAAATACATAATATTATTTTCTGTCTTTTATTATAAAATAATAAACTTACCTCTTTTCCATAATAAATTATTACTTGACACACGACTTAAAAATGCAAAGTTCAATTTGGTTCAATAATCAAAAACAAAATTATTATCCTTACTTCGCGCCAAATCTACACAGGTTGGTGATACTGAATTCACGTCCAGTAAATAGGAAAAATAGAACATGTTCTATTTCGTCAATTTCTTCACAAGTTATTCATGAATTTATTCACGGCAAAATTGGATGTCAAATTGTGCTTTACACAGGTCAAATTTGACCTTGAAGCGACTTCACGAATTTCTTCATGAATTTATTGTTGGTGTAAAGCCCGTATAAAAAGCTAGAAATATGTTATTGAATTGCAAAGCAATCATCTTCTTGATAATCATTTCAAGAATCAAATTTTCGACGGCTGTCCGGGCTGTCAGAAATTATATCTCCTGACACTGACAGTAGTATACTGACAGCCTGACAGTGACTTTCAATCTCAGCCCTGAGGTTATTTTAATTTTTAATTTACAATTTTCTTTTAAACTCGGAATTTCTACTTTTTGTTTTTAAACATTTTAAATAATATGTCTTCAGGTGACGGATTACCACCAAAGTCGTACTTGATTCCAAGTCCGATAATTACAAAAAGAACAAGAACACCATCAGTGTAAGTGAAAATAAACATACAAAAAACATGAATTAATATCGCTATTTCTTTTAGTTGTGAACGTATCGTTAAGAGCAAGAATATTTATGGGGTAATCAAGGAATTTTGCCGTCAGAAAGGGCATGGTTTTATCACTCCAGAAGATGGTAGTGAGGATATATTTGTACATGTTTCAGAGTAAGTCCCTAAATCAATATCATAATGCATATATTTAAAGTCTTTGGACTAATTAGCGATTTATAGTCATCAAGATCAGTATGAACAATAATATATACTAATAGTACATAAATAATTAGTCAATTAAGTGTTTAGTTAATTAGGTTCTACATTTGTGCTAATATGACTCATCTGATATTTTCACTAAGGAAAGACTAATTATTCCATCATTACAAAAATAAAAATACTAATAATAACTATACTCATTCCTGAATGCATCATTGATTAAAAGTTAATAAAAATTATCCCAATTTTATGAAAAGTTCACCTTTATTGACAGACTGAGTAAAACAACTATTTAAGAAGTCCTATGGTTATAAAAACTTGTAGATACCATTGTTTATAACAATTTTCAATATTGAAAATGTGTGGATACTTTTGTATCAAATCATTAGGAATGCAATTAGTTGTTTTCTACCTAAGTCAAAAGTATTATTTTTCCATGGTGGGTATTATCTGATCTTAGGAAATTATTATTTAATAGTAACAAGCTCAGGTCCCATTTAAATCTACAGGTGATATATGTACATGAAAATAACATTTTAATAATTTATGAGTACAGTCTAAACTTTTTTGTTTCAATGTTATGGTAGGTATTTGCCTTGATTTGATGATAGTGTTCACAGAGATGCTCAATATTTCACTGAGAAAATATTCTGAGCTTCCCAATATAACTTTTAATAATAGATGAGGTGTTACTAATGAGAACATTGTCAGACTATTTGCCAAACACTATATGGTCTTCACGGTATTTCCTCATACTTAAATTATAACATTCACTGACATGCTGACATTTTTGACAAAATGTCCCCGAAAAGCACACAAGTTCTCTTTCACACTTGTTCGCCATTTTGTCACCCAGTCAGTAAGCTCCTACCCTTGTTCTACTTTCACTTCACACTCTTCTGATAATTCCTCCGAATTTAACTGAGCTCAGATTAATATTGGGTTTGTAGTATGCAGTGATATGTAATACATTATGTTCAAAAGTTCACTTTCTTAATTTTCTTAACATATTTTGCCTTTTTTGAGATTTATTATCTACTTTTAAGATAGAGATATCTGAATCTGAATTTTTTCTAGACAGTGTAAAAGACATAGCAGATAGCATTATTTCAAACAAAACCCACCAAGAAATTTGTAGTTCAATAAATGTCGACTGCAAAATGGAAAAATTCAAATGTTAGAATTGAAAGATTTAAAAAAACAAATGAAAGAAATGAAAAACAAAGAAAGTAATGTTGATGGTATTACAGTTCAAATTTTAAAGATTTCCTTTAAAGTAATAGGAGACAAAATTTTGCATATTATAAATGGTAGTCTAGAAAGTGGCGTATTCCCAAGTAAATGGAAGAGAAGTCTGGTTGTACCAATTGAGAAGGTTCATGGAACTGTTAAGTGTGAGGAATTTCGACCCATAAATATGGTACCACCATACGAGAAACTGCTGGAATTATGTGTAAATGATCAAATAGTGGAGTACTTGGAAAGCAATAATGTGTTAACTAAATTCCAAGCAGGGTTTAGGAGAGGAAATTCCTGTGAGAGTGCAATGCAGACGGTTTTGTTTGACTGGAAGGGTGCGCTGGAGTGCGGGAAAATGTTTGGCGTAGTTTTCTTAGACTTTAAACGTGCATTTGAGACCATAAACAGACAACTGCTATTGAGAAAGATGGAAAGGTATGGCTTTGGTGAAAAAATTATAAAGTGGTTTCAAGAATATTTGACTGATAGAACACAAGTGACAAAATATGGTGCCATTTCATCGGCTCAGAAGTCTCTGTATGGTGTGCCACAGGGAACTGTATTAGGTCCTACTCTTTTCAAACTGTAATATAAATGATATTGTTGATGTTGTTAAAAAGTGTAAGGTACAGTTGTTTGCCGATGATACTGTGATATATGCAATAGGGGATAAGGTAGATAAAATAATCGATATAATAAATGAAGAGATATGTAATATATTAAAATGGCTCGATAATAATTCCTTAAGTCTTAATGTAACTAAAACAAAAATGATGCTTATAAAGAATAAAAATTTTAAATTAAATAACATAATAAAAGATGTAAAAATTAATAACATTGCTTTGGAGAGAGTGGTTCAGTATAAGTATTTGGGATGTATTATAGATGAAAATTTAAGTTTTGTTGAACATTTTAAGTTTGTTACAAACAAAATAGCAAAAAAAATCTATGCATTGGGAAGAATGTGAAAAAATTTAAGTTGCTGGTCTAGGTTTACCATATATAAATCGATTATTGCTCCCCATCTCTATTTTGCTCTACATTGCTGTTTTTAATGAATGCTTCTCAAATGAACGTACTGCAGAAAAAACAAAATAAAGCCTTAAGGATAATATTAGGATGTAGTGTATACACTAGTAGAACTGACATGCTAACAATGGCAAATGTTTTAAGTGTAAGACAGACAATTGTATGTAATAGTATGATTTTTGTTTATAAAAATGTTAAATGGTCTGATACCTGTGCATTTGTGTAATAATTGTACCTTTGTTCGAGATGTACATGAACACAACACACATTCTAGAAATAACTTTTATCTGAATAGGGTCAACACTAATTTTGGTCAGAACAATCTTTTTTATAGGGGATTAAAGCAATACAATGAATTACTGGAAAACATTAAGGCTTCTGGAAACTTAGCTCAATTTAAAAATTTATGTAAGATATATGTTAAGCAAAGCATTGTGATTTAATTTTAAGGGTATAAATTGATGTATCTACAGTAGAATCCGGTTATAACGACGGCCAAGGGACCTGTGTCATTGCGTCGTACTAACCGGAAGTCGTTATAAAGAGATGGCAATTTTGATTTTTGTTTTTTATGACATAATATTTACATATTAATGTTTACATGATACATTACAGAAAAAAAGACATTCAAATCAAAATATTTATTTCTAATAGGAATGAAAAGAAATGAAAAAATAGTTTCCCATAAACTTTGCCAAATACATATGTATGTACCTACATATCTATACACATATAATACGTACATATATAAATATGTATAACTAAAAGTGAAATACCTAGTGGAAATAGTCTGTAATCTTAGACTGTTTTTGATTTTTATAAAAACAAGTATGAACTGCATTATGCAAACGAGACATAAGACTTTTCATATTGTCGTCATTAAAATTAGAATGCACAAACACATTCAACACTTCTGCAGCTTTGAGAGCTTCATTCTTCCAGGCAGTCATCTGTATTATCGTCGCTATCTTGGCTGTTGACGATAATATTTTGTAGAATATTTTCGTCAGTAGGCTCCTCACACGTTGCGAGATCATCATCAACAGCAGAATATTGTTCAAGTTCTTCATTTGCTATAGGTAGTCTTTTATTCAGAGCTCTCGCCCAGAGAGACAGCGGAACCTGATCATCATCGTCGTTGTCGGCAGCCACTGGGACACTGGGACTATCTCGAACAAATCCAGCATGTTTATAACAGTTGGAAATCGTCGCTGTCGTAAGCTTGTTCCAGGCATCATAAATCATTAGAATGGCATCCAGTATTGTGATCTTCGGAAACTTGGCACTCGTGTCTTCATTTGCATCAAGACTGACGACAATTTTTAGAACCAGATTTTTACGAAAGTTTGATTTTTATGCTCGAATTATTCCTTGGTCCATAGGTTGCAACACAGATGTTGTGTTAGGAGGCAGGAAAGTAACAGTTATGCTTTTCAAGTCACTGACTGAGGGATGAGCTGGACAATTGTCAACCAGAAGCAGGATTTTTTTCTTATTTTTAGTCAGTTCACGGTCCCAATCGCGTACCCATTTGATAAACATATCAGATGTCATCCAGGCCTTGCGATTGCTCTCATAATATACCGGCAGAGATTGTACATTTTTAAAACATCTTAGGTTCTTTGATTTGCCTATAATTAACAACTTCTTTTTTATCGTACCACTCATGTTAGCTGCAACCATCACAGTTATTCTGTCTTTCGAAAGTTGTCCTCCCGAGCATTTTTCCCCTCTAAATTTTAATGTTTTATCTGGCATTAGTTTATAGAATAATCCAGTTTCATCTGCATTAAATATTTCATCGTCAATAAATTTTTCGCGCAACTTAGGCCAAACTTTGGTTAGCCATTCGTTCACATCGTTCGGCTCAACTGACAAAGACTCTCCAGTAATTTTTCCGCCGACAATATTGTGTCTATTCTTGAAACGGTTAATCCAACTTGCCGAACAATCAAAATTAAAAATGTTTAGCTCTTTAGCAAAAAAATTTGCCTTTTGTTGAAGCATAGGCCCATTTACAGGTATTCCTCGATTACGTTGCAGTTTAAACCATTCTAAAAGTGCACAGTCAACTTGTTTTTGAGACGACACCCTCACACGTTTCGGTTTTAAAACATTCGCATTGAATAAAGATTCTATCTTGTGTTTATTTTTCTTAATTGTCGATATTGTGGAATGATTTACACCGAATTCCTTTGCAATCGTTATATTTGACTCGCCAGCTTCTAAACGTTGTATTATTATACTTTTTTCTTCAATGGAGAAACATTTTCGTTTTCTAGAAGCCATTTTTGTATGCGTAATCACTAATAATCGTCTGCGAATTACTTTCGAATAATAAACAGTCGCATTCCAGTCAGCGACGTTGTGGTAAAGAAGGTGCGCGGGGCGGAGACAGCTTCTTATCTACGATTTTTTTAATGGGTTGTCGTTGTAACCGGACAATATTGTTTAAAATTCCGTCGTTAAAAGCGGTCGGTCGTTATAAGCGGAGTAGTAATAAACGCATGTCTTTTCATGTTGGCTTAGATTAAAACCAAACATTATGCCTTATTTACGTCGCTAAAAGCGGTTAGTTGTTATATGCGAAGTCGTACTAAACGGACTACACTGTATATGTATATTTTTCTAGCCATGTGCTATTAATAAAGATTATTATTATTATTAATAAACCAACTTTTGCTGCATACAACTAACATTATTTAACATTTTAGTGTTGAAGATGAGTACGTCCCAATACCAGGAGATCGTGTTAAATATCAAATGTGTCCTATCCCTCCCAAGTTCGAGAAGTTTCAAGCAGTCCACGTCCATATAGTTGATTTGAAGCCAGAAGTGCACAAGAAATGGGAGAACTTATAAATGTCCTTGCCAGAAAATATAAAAAGATCTTTGATTCTCTGTTCTTACTGTTATTGAATGTATATTTGGTTCTATTAATTAATGTATGTATATATGTAACACTAATTTGATGTCTATACCTTCCCAGCCTCGCAAATATTATTTTTAAGTTATACTATCTTTTTTCACTTTTTTGTATGAGGTAAAACTGTAGATTCGGTCAGTACAACTATTTAAAACGCAGTAAAGATATTATACTTGAACAATTTTTTGGTTCTGTCAATTTTAAATAGGTTGTTGATTTAAGTCAATTCATACGTTACGAAAATTCTTGTAAATAAAACACTGAAACCAAAAACTCTTGTTTTCAAATTTTTATAAGGGTTATAAAATAACACAACACTCAAAAATAAAAGGAGATACATAAAAAAAAGCGGTTGAAAAGATCTTTGATATTTGGAATATAATAGCTTCAAGTTCAGACAATGTATGAAATATTGAAAAATGTAAAATGTGTGCCTCAGTTCTTTCGAATTTCGATGCTGCATTTATATTCACCTTAACAATAACAAAACAAAATAATGTTATACCTTTAGCGATTTTTCACCTGATGTATATACCTATGTCATCTTTTGAATCATGTCTGAATTTATTCTAAAATAACTATAAAATAAATAGTGTTGATCAAAATAAATTGATTTAAAAGAAAGACAGTTAAGATTTAATTTCACGTACAGTGCCTCTGTATATTCGCTTATATATATTTCATCCTACTAGGATTCATCAGAGCGACTGTTATAGAAGCTCTAAAAGTTAAATCAAATCTTTTCTGTCAAAAGAAGGAATAATAAAGTGGCTTCAATATGGACGCTATAGCGACATCTACGACCAAAATAGAAATGCGAAGATTTTTCGGTTGACGAAACCAAACTTCAGAGATTTTTGCTTTAATCTGTACCTTCTATAAATTGCAAGGCAAAACAGACGATGAAGAAGATCCAAAACATGAAAATCTCTGAAAAAGCTTTTTTTTCTGAGATGAGATTGTCATATTAAATTCTTTTGTTCCTATGTTAAATCTGTGGACCAGTATTTGAGTTTAAATGCTTGATAGAATTATATCAGAATAAAAAGCACTGGACGCGATGGAATAAGAAACAATTAAAGTGCCATATTAGCATTGACGTCCAGGCGCCACCAATCACGCGCCTCGACTTTGCCTAGTCCTCCCTTTTTTAACTTTTAAAACTTTTAATTATTTTAATTGGTCGAGAAATGAAAAGGTTTCATATAAAAGTTAAAATACTTTAAATATGGGACATTTTCGGATCTCGCCCTCAGTACCGGTTTTTAACCCTCAGCGGGTAGCCGTCGAGCTCCTCACTGGAGGACTCGGCAATTTTCACACAAACCGTAAAAAGACTCTGACGCTGAGTTTTTTTCTACTTAGAAATACTGTGTTTCATTTCTAAAGTACCTACAACACCTGCAGCATTGTCCTTTTACAAGATAATGACCTAATCAGAGCGTACCGGCTAACTACGCAATATTTCACAATATTGCGCAATAGTTAGATGATATTAGTAAACATGGTTATGGCACCGAGATGCAATTTCAATTTCCTACGTTACTATTAATCGCCCGGAGACGACAGCATAGTCGAATTCTTGACATGTGATCATACAGTCATCTTACGAGCAATGATAATGTCCACTACCAATCTAACTAGAGAAGTAGTAGAAGCTGTGATGAGAAAAAGGAGAGATGCCTTGCAAAAAGAAAGATGGAGAATGGAATCAAGAAGACAGAGGAAAGGGAGAGTAATTCTAATAATAGGTATTTTCCAATATGCAGATGTGTATATGATAACCAAAGGAAAATTATGGTGTATATGGTTATCAATATTTCACTTTGGTGATCTTTGCGCCCTTTTTTCATTAAATTAAAATACCATTGCTTACTTAACATTTAACTGCGTTTGACCATGCTATTTCTCACACTGACAACTAGCTAACCACCTGGTGTCAACTAGGACAAAACTATATCTTTAGATTGTAGATACGAGGTCATTTGGCATCGTAGACATTATCACTGCGATCTGAAAGTTCCTTTATGTATACCCTACACCTACGTCAATGTTTTGATAGAACAGCAAGAACACTAAGAAGATGGACAGGACAGAACATTTTAAGGAAAAACTTGAGGGAGATGGGAGGGAGGCGAACCCTGATATAAAATTAGACCATTCAGACAACAGAGAAAAGGGTCCATCAACAATAGCCGAGATTAGAACAGTCAGTAGCCACATTAAAGAACAATAGGAGACATATTACTAACTACAATACATGACATGATAACAATGATATGGTTGAATGAGCTGTTACCAGAAGAGAGTGGAATTGGTCGTTTACCCCATTTGTGCATCATCTAACCGCATCTGCCGTATTGGGTTCTGATTTGGTTCAACATAGTCCATATGTTGCGTGGTCAAAACCTGGTGGTTTTTGTGTGATGCAGGGTAAGCTGCTATTTTTTTATTTCATCCATTCCACAGCAGTCTTTGCTGATTTTATCGGATTATTTATATCTTGATGGATTGGCAGGATCTCTTTACTAAGTATCTTTTTGTACTCACTAGTGAGGGAGGGTATGTACCATAGTTTGGGTGGTGGAATGTAGCTCAGTTCTGGGAGCCATTGCGTAGGGGTGGATTTGATAACGCCAGCAATCATTCTCACTGTATTGTCCAATTGGACATCTACTTTGTGTATATGTGGGCTGTGAAGCCAGGCTGAACAGCAGTATTTCGCGGTTAAGCAGACAAGGGCCAGAATAGATGATCGCAAAATGGAAGCCGATGCTCCCCAGGTTGTGCCGCACAGCTTCTGGATGATGTTGTTTCTGGATTTAAGTATTTCCGCTGTTTTTGATACATGTTCCTTGAAAGATAGGGTTCTGTCAAGAGTCACCCTAAGGTACTTTGTGTTTTATTGTAGGCGAGTCTGGTATTTTCGAACTTGATGTTGAGTGTTCATTATGCAAGCTTGTTATTTAGGTGTAAACTGGAAACCTCTGTTTTGGTAGCGTTTGGTTGGAGCCTCCATTTCTTCCAATCCATAGAGGATTTCTTCTGTTTCTTTAAATGACTTACACCTTGTTGCAAGGACTGCGTCATCGGCGTAACCAAACTTCCTTGATCTGGTTTCTGGTATATCAGCGCTGTACAGACTAAAGAGAAGAGGAGCTTGGACAGATTCCTGTGGCAATCCATTCTTCAGTTTTCTTGGGGTGCTGATGTCGGTTCCCATGACTACTTGAATCGCTCGGTCGTCTACCATGCTGTTGATTATTCGAGCGGTGGATTTACAGGAGATTGTATGGAGGAACTTGTATATCATGCCTTCTCTCTAGACTGTATCGTCGGCCGCTGTTAGGTCTATGAATGCGGAATAAAAAGGAGACCATTTAGAATGTGAAAACTATCTTAGAATCACGCTGTTGAACGCAGCATACAAAATAATGTCCAAAGTCATTTGTGAAAGGTTTAGGTCAAAACAAAATATATGCATGCAAGTAAAAATGCAGAAATAAGGCAACTACAACATCTAACACTAGAAAACAACATTGAGGGGGTAAAAAGCTTTATATATTTAGGATCTTTAGTTACGTCTGATAGGAACGTTGCAAAGGAAGTGAAAAAGCGAATATTCATTGCCAATAAATTATACTATGGCGTAATTAGACAAATACGTTCAGGTAACGACGCAAGAAAAGCAAAATGTCAAATATATAAAACCTTAATAAGACCGGTACTCACAGATGGTTTAGAAACCTGGACATTCTCTGAAAAATCTTGCGACACATATACAAAGGAACAAAAGAAAATATTTCAGGATCCGGCTATATTTTGTATATCGTTGGACGGAACATGTGGAAAGAATGGAAGAAGGCGAAATACCAAACAAAATAAGGAAACAAGTGCCAGTAGAAAAAAGATATATATATATATTTATATATATATATATAATATATATATATATATATATATATATATATATATTATATATATATATTTATTGAAAAGCATTGGTGCTAAAACACGTCCCTGTGGAAGGCTGTTTTTTTGAACTCTCCATCTACTTACTTTGCCCTCCAGCGTGACGCTGCTAAAAATAAGAAACAACTATAGAAGACAAGACTTTTTAGTTCATGTCTAGAGTTGATTTCAAGTAACTTAGATTTTACAGAAAAAATTAAGTTTAAGTAAACCGCCTTCATTTTTATTTATTTTATCGCTAGGATTAATTGGAGTGAAATTGTTTGTAAAACTCAAATGCGTGGGAAGTAAGATGTTTTCAACCTTCTAAAGGTTAATAAATATTTTGATAATGTATACAAGAAAGTGTAAAGGTTTCTGTTAATAGTTAAGATGAATATTACCTAGACCGCTTTAGTTCTTATATACTTAAGTGGTTGGTTTCCATTTCTTTCCATTTCCATTACATTTATATGTTTTAAATGATCGCTAGGCCAATTGGGGTGAAATTGTTTGTAAAACTTAAATGCGTGGGAAGTAAAATGTTTTTAACCTTCTAAAGGTTAGTAAATATTTTAATAATTTATAGATGAAATTGTAAAGGTTTTTGTTAATATTTAAGATGCTGGGCAACGGAGTAATGGCGGACAGTTGGGGAAATGGTTTAAAAATTAGTTTTTTTTAAGATTTCTATGTTTCCAAAAACAAATTAGATCTGTTAAACTAACAATTGAACGAAACAGGATATTATATTCTATGATTTAGATCTCTCGTTTAAATTAATTTAACAACAATTTTTCCCCAAGCATATCTGGTCAAACGATATTAGGACTCTTTCAAAAGCTTGAAATTTGGATTTGGCCAACAACTTTGGTGGGTATAAAGAAATTCTGGAGAGGGATTGCCCTTGTCCTTGCCCATGTATTCTTCCATCTTTATTTGTATAGGTATATTTGTCTGTTTTGGATTTTATTTTTTTTTTGTATCCTTCGGGGTCATTCCTCGGTTTCATTGATAGGGCGTTCCCTATTATCAATTGTTGATGTGTTCAACTTCATGTGGGATTACATGTCTTAAGCTTGGATGAAGGACGAGGTGTTCAGGGGTGGATCTAACAATCTATCCGCAGTCAAAAAAAAAAACATGTTATAATGCTCATAGAACAAGTAAAAAGCTTCTGAACAGGTTAGGTAACAATAATTTATCCATCAAAACTTACTATGTCAATTGGATTTGCAACTGCATCTAATCATCATAAAAGGAACTTTTTATATAATCCCTATCTAGATTCTAAAATTTTTTAAGCAGGCTATAAGA